GTCCCGGTAGTCGCGTCGGCCATAGTCGCGGTATTCGCGGCCGCCGTAGTCGCGGCGATCGCTGTAGGAGTCATAACGGCCGTAGCCGCCGCCGCGGTAGTCGTCACCACCACGACGCCAGTTTCCGCCGCCACCGTAGCCGCCACGGCGGTCATCGTAACGGTCACCACGGCCACCTCGGCGTCCACCACCGCCGAACTCTGATACGCATGTTAGCCAAGAAACGTATTGCTTGTGTAGAGGCGGTACTAACCACGCTTGGGAGGACCAAAGTATTTGCCGGGAGTGGGAGTTCTAGGGCGGCTACGACGAGCCTTCTCGATGCTAAGAGTGCGGCCTTCGATAACCTCACCTTGCAAGCCCTCCTTGGCTGCGTCTGCCTGCTCAGCAGTCACCATGTTGACGAAGCCAAAGCCGCGAGATTCCTTAGTGTGAGGGTCGACCATGATGGAGCAGTTCTCAACATCGCCGTATTTCTCGAAGAGACGCGAGATATCGGATTCAGTCAGACGCGGGTGGATGCCGGTAACGAAGAGGTTGGAGCCAGAGTTGATAGAACCCTCGTCATCATCAAGCTGCTTGCGGGGATCGATGGGGCCACTGATGGTTGAGTGTCAGCACAGGGTTCGCGTAGTTTGTCCGACCGAGCAAGTTTATGAACGAGCCGGTCATCAAAGGCGACGTACCGCTCGTCGAGACGACCGTTGGGAGAACGGCTGCGAGCGCGGTCAGCTCGGGGCTCGTCACGGGGAGAGGCGCTACGGTCGCGAGCGAAACGCGGCTCCTCTGGAACAAGAAGCGCCGGGTTAGTCTAGTGTCACCAAAATCAGCTGCTGGGGTAACGGGAGGGACATACCATCGTAACGGCCGTTCTCGTGCTCGTATTCGGCAGACATAGCGATGGGTGATTCAAGGGAAAGTTGATGATTAACTGAGTAGTTGAAGCTGGTCAGATTTGATATAGACGGGAGCGCGTAACACGAAGCGCGGTGGTGTTTGGATAAGGCGCAGAAAATTCCGGAGCAAACACTGGGAGGAAATACCTCAGAAGAGCGACCTGGAACGCAACTACAACAAAGCTGCGGAGTCTTTGCCTGGTTTGAAGTCTGACAAAGAAAGAGAAGGGGTAAAGAAGAAGAAAAGAAAAAGGGAAGGGGAAGAGAGATGGGGAAGGGATGGAGGCGAGATGGATGATGATGAAAGGAGAATCAATCAGGATGGGAGCAGCGGAAACTGACGCCTCAGGCTGAAGGCGGTGAATGGGTTCCAGAACCACGCGAGGCTCGATTATTGGAGGCCAGCAAAGTAAGGCTGCCAAGTGCCTACGATGGTCAAAGAACCCTCTGTCTACTGACAGCTATGTATAGGCCAAAGAAATACGGTTGATTATTGCTTTCCGTCCCATGGTTAACCTTCCACAAATGAATATCAATAAAGCTGCCAGAAATGCGATTTTCCATAAACGCCTGCCGCCTGTAATTCCTGCAGAATCCACTTAATACGTCGAAAGGTAAAAAAAAGCCATTAAGCACTGCTAGTAAGCAAACATCATTTGAAGCCACGCCATCGACGCCGAGTCCGATGGACCTTGACCCCTGGCTCCCCGCCTGAACTGTCTGGGACGCCGTTGGTGGAAGCGCCAGCCGCAGCCGCGTTCTCTTCCAGCTCATCATCATCTACTAGATCGTTAAGTTCCTCCTCATCCAATTCGCTGAGCTCCTCACTCAGGCCACGCATGACCTCCCGGCCTGTCCATCGCTCATCATGTATCGTAGTTCCCACAGGATCGAATGGCTGCATATACCATTGGATGCCTCCCTGGGCCAGAGAGTGATGCTGATCGGTTTCAAGGGCCGGCGGCGATAAGGGCACTGAAGGAACCTGATTCGCTTGTTCTGATGTTCTTGTTGATTCTTCCGCTTTGTCGGCTGCTTCAGAAGCATCTACTGATTGAGTTTCGTCCGCAGGCTGGACAGTAGAAGTATTGTTCGTAACCGGTGCATCCGCCGAGGCATCCGTAACAGCTGCTTCAGCGACCTGGGGTTCGGCAGACTGAGAAGTTTCTGCTTCGGGAGTGTTCGCCTCGGTGCTCTGCAGAGCTTCCTCGCTGGGCTCTGCTTTGGCCGTAGAATCGATATCAACATCCATTTTGTCGGCATCATCATCATTGGAGTCGGCTTGCTCGGACTGTTCTGACTTCTCAGGCTTCTCAAAAGTCTCTTCGCCTGCGCGTTCTGCGGAATCAACTTCGGAGCCTCTCGCAGTCGAGATGTCCCCAAGCATGACGTCTAAGTCCTTAAGCTCTTGCTCGTAAGGCTGGCGATTCAATTCGCTCTCTTTGCGGATTGCATCCTCCAGCGCTGGTTGAATAGATTTAATGATCCGCTTTGCAGTCTTTCTCTTTTCGCGCTGCTCCAAGCTAAGTTCAGGAGCACGCCCACTAATCTGCATCTGAAGCTCTGCTGTATCTCCGGCTGGCTGGACTCCAATCTCCGAGGTGAAGATGCCGGCTAGGTGAGCCGAGAAGGAGGACACGGACGGATAGTAGCGTTGCTCCAGCTTGGTGCGTATTGCAAAGAGTCCCTGCCTGAAGAAACCTTTGCTATCCAATCTAGGATGGGTTAGCAGTAGCTGAGAAGAATGATAAAGGTTGCTTACACTTGCGCCTTCTCGAATATCGGCCAGAGTAGAGGGAAGATCGGGAAGTAGACGGTATCTACGATACTCCGAAGCATCTCGGCATCCTTCAACTTCTCCCTCTCGCGTTTCTTTACCTCATCGCACAGCATTCGTAGCCGGTCCAAGTCTCGATACAAGCGTTCGCCAAATTCGATGCGCCGTTGGAGTCGCTTGCCGCCCGTCGCTCCCATAGCAGAGTAATCCCTCCGCGTCATTTCCATGGAGGAGAAAGTTTCTAGTTGCAACTGTAGGCGCTTGAGAAGCGCTGCACCGCGCCGCGCCTCTCGCTTGAGAGTCCAGTATTTGCAGGCATCTTCGGCATATTGTTTTCTTTGCCGAACACCGAAGCGCTGGAGTGAAGCAACGACAGAATTCAAAAGAACCTGCGGTATGACGGGAGCCCCGGAGGGTAATTTCCATATTGTCCTGGGGGCATTGGGTCGCTTTCGTTTATTGCCCCCAACGGTAAGAGTGATGCGTGGTGTATGGGTCCGTGGTCCATCTTCGTCGTCCGGATAGCCGCCAAGTGGACGGGCGGGCTCTAACGACAGAGCCGCAGCTTGACTGTCTGGCCACTGTCGATCCCGCATCGTATTGCGGTAGTATTCTATTGCCTCGGCTGTGGCGGCGTCTGTCCCGTGTTCGCGACGCCATTCAGGGGGGACATGCTTATCGCAAAAGGCTTTCAATAGATGTGAGTCCATCACCGCTAGATTTCCGTGGCCGGACTTCATTTTCAAGTAAAGCTGAGCTCTCCGCGCACACGTGACATGGAACGCTACGAAGCAGTTTTTGTTACTGCATTGGATGGACGCGCCCATTTTTTGGCGACAAATATAGCATTGAAGCTTCCAACGGCTCCTAGGAACCTTTTCGATATCGGTAATGGGCTCCATCAGAGACGGATTACCGATAGAAACCTCGGGAATCCAGATAGCGCAGAGAAGATGCGACCACTTGGAAGTAGTGGTTTGTTTGAACGCACCCTCAGTGTTCGGGCAGAAAATGCAATTCGGTGATCCTCTTCCTATAAGCTGGCATTTACGACACAACCACTGGCCCTCGGGGATGAAAGGAACACCATAACACTCCTGGTGTACTGCAAGATCGCAGCCATCGCAGAACACAATGGCGTTTGCGTTCTCGCAGTCGCCATCATCGCAGATGGCACATTTGGTATCCTGATCTTCACCCGGACCTATCGTTTCGCCATTGACGGCTGCCGCCGAGCTTGATCGAGGGCGATGTGTCTGTGGAGGCTTCGGATTGGGCTTGGGGATGCGTTTTTCAAGACTGTGCCACTCCTTTTCAATTTTTGTCATGGTGATTTCAAAGACAGCCGGTTTGATGGGTTCATATTGATCCTCTCGTCGCTTCGCATTGTATTCCTCCAACCACTTCTCATCCTGCTCGTCCATGTCGTATTCCACCCGGCCTACAGCAGCATTGACCTCCCCTTCGCCGAGTAATGCGTTGCCGATATCAAGGTCATCTTCCTGGGCACCTTCAGGCATTCGAATCAAACGGCGGTCATGGCGGAGAAACAGATCGCTCTCCTGGTATCCTACACTAGCCATTGTCCGGTCCACATAATTTTGCTGACCCACGCCAGGCCGATCATAGAAAGTGAACGGATCTTTCAATCGAAACGACGGTTTCGGTAGCGTCAGCTTTTCGCGCGGATTAGGACCAGGAGGCGGAACGACTTTGGGCTGGGGGGTGAAGACGCCAAGTGACTGCAGGATGGCCTCTGGGCGGCGCGGAGGACGTCCTGGCCTGCGTTTAATCGGTGTATTAACAGTACCATTGGTATGAGCGCGGATTAGCTCCGCGACGGGATCATTCTCGTTGGTCTTGTCAAGGCCGTTCGGAGATAGTATATTGGCGAGTTGTGCTGACGGTGGCGGGCGATCAACCTCTGTTGAAGGAAACACTGGGAACTTAGCATCGATATCTAACTCGGGATGGAATTCCTCCCAGCCTCGTTCTTCTCGGGGTTTATAGCCATCGCCTTGCTGAAGAGCGAGCGCCGCCGCTGTTGATGAGGACCCAAATCGTCCGCGGGTCTGGCTCTTTTCTCTTCGGAGACGCGTAGACGGGGGCGTGGTAGGGGCGTGGACTGGCGGCGGCGGCGGAGGAGGAGGAGGTAATTGAGCAGATTGTGCGGATGACTCTGCTTCTTTCAACTGATGCCGAGTGCGAGAAGCAGAGGAACTCGTCCTCTTCACGGGGCTCAACTTAGGTTGTTTCGCTTTCGGCTTCGGCTTCGGTTGTTTCGGAGTTTCCCTAACCTCGATTTCAATGTATCTTCCTCCTCCACCTGGGCCGCCTGGAACGTATTTCCTTTTCTTAACGATAGGGCCTAAGCCGTCGTCGACTGGGGCCCCCGAATTGCCGGAATCCTGGAGAGGAGTCTTTGATCCGTTTTTCAGTGGCCCACCGGGGGAAGCGCGTTTTGGCGACGTGTAAGGCGCCATACCGATAGACACGCTAAGTTGCGCGCAGAGACGTTCAAGGTATGCGGATAGGATTGGTTGAAAGTGTGTTGATGAAGCAGTTGCTGCTTATCCGAGACCCGCCTCAATGTGGTGAATAACAACGCAAGACACGGGAGAGCTCATGGGCAAAAGCAAACATGACTGGCAGAGCCAGGGTAGAGCACGCGCCAGTCAGTAGAGGACTGGAAGGCCACGGAGAGCGACACGCGACAGGATTTTGTGAAGCTGTCGTCGGATTAGACTGCGCGGCGTGTAGAAGGAGACGTGGGTCAGTCTCGGCTTCGATCACCTGGCGTTGGTGCCTGAGAACCAAGGCCTGGATTCCCCGGCAATCAGTCATCACCCGCTCGACCCATCCATGATACGCCAGTCGCATTCCCAGGCCAGTGTTCCTCGTGCATCAAGCTTACTTCCGAAGCTTAGTCTTACAGCATGAGCGGTGCAGCTGATGACCGGTAATTACCTCACCCCTGCTCATTGACCCTGTCATCGCTATTTCGACCACTGATCCGAATCCAGTTGGCGCGGAGGCCGTGCGTTCGACCAGAACCGCCAATCCGGGCAGCGGCATTCGAACCCCAGAACAACGAGCGCTCACGGCGGGTCCCGTGGAGGTCATCAGAGCTCGAATACGTCGCATACTAGCTGGGCAGATGAGGTCTCGGATTCAATGCAAGAGCAGCACACTCCGGTGGGTGGCTTTAACGCTGGAGATGTCAAAGCCACTATGAAGAGAGGTAGGTGCCCATTATTGTGACGGCGTAGACGCATTTGCTAACGGTGCTACTGCAGGCCCAGGTGGTATGCATCTCTGGCCTTTCCTTCCATCGACATCGATCCCGTCCGAATAATCGCTGATTCGTGTACCTAGCGCCGAGAACTTACTTCTACAAAACCCCGGGAAAGGACGCGGGCAACCGTGCGAGTGGACCTTGGGGTTCGAAACGTATGTCTCTCCGCTCCATCGAATGTCCGATGCAATGATACAGTGACTTACATGTCTTAGCAAACACAATGGCGAACGGAAAAGACTTCTTTCTCGAACTCCGCAAGCAGGTGACCGCTCTACGTCAAGGGGGAAGCGTCGCGGGAGGTTGATACAACGGAGACATCAGAGTATACGCGCCGGAACACGGTCAGAGACGAAACCTCTGACGGATCACGAGAGACCTGGAGGAGAGACCATGCTGGATTCTCTGCTTTCTCTGAACCGTCCCGACGGCTAATGACAGTTTGGTCGCTGAGGATTAGCTTGCTAGGTTGCTGGTCGGCTAGAAGTATGTCATGCAGCATCAGGATTGTCTTGAGACCTGACTTGCTGTGAAGACAGTGGGTGTACAGGACGGCTTTTTGACTCGGTTTATACCCATGCTAGCACGGAACAATTGATAGTAATGACAGTCGAATGAATGATCACATCTCTCAGGATCAGAGGCGAACAAAACCACCAATAGTTTGTTCACAGTGTGCATTCTACGTCCTATTGGAATCATAGGAGCTTCGATATCCCGTTCCGATTCCCGATCATCGTCTACATCTGGGCATCCGGCTATCCGACGTTTTGACCAGCGGAGTGTATCTTTCTGAGGTCCATTGCCGTTCTCTTCTCTAAAATATGCCGACACGGGGCTTTAGGCACATCCCGCCTTTCCGTTGACTTGCTGCCTTCCTAAACATGTATGGATCGCATAATCCGTCATCCTTCCTTCCCAACGGCATCCAGGTTCGCCGTGATCCTGATATGAGACCAAGTTTTTCAGGACTTTGCTACGGGCTGTTGTATTGCGACACGGTCGTTCTCGTTCTGGAACCATCCTCGAACCCCTGCATTGTTGGCCCTGCGCGCTTACAGGGTTCAAATGTTTCGCTCTATGTTTGGGCTTGGATCAGTTTTCTTGCACAGTGGTACATCCACAGATAGGACAAACAGCACCAACAGAAGTGAAGAGCGAGCGCTTCCCCTTTTGATATCCGTGGCGCCGTACCTGGGTGTACGCGCATTCTCCTATCAGGACCTTGCTTGATCCATTCGGAAGCGGCTTGACACGCTCGTTCGCATGTTGAACCAGAGTCATTTCTTGTGGAAGATGGGTTGATACGGAAGAATCTCACCAGGATAATGGTGAACTCGGGAGGTCGAGATCGATCTAGTTCTTCCTCGGGCTTATCCTATGCCATATGACCACCATAGAGGGAGTTTCTGGCAATTTTTTTGGTATTTTCGCGTCTATATGGGACCATTATTGTATTGGCTACGGTTGGGCTCCCATGTTGTTCAAGAGGAGTCTCGCTGCGCAACTAACTCATTATCTCCTGGCACCTGTCAGACCTAGAATACCGGCCTCGAACCCGTCAAGCTATCAGCGCTCCATCCGTTTCAGGCGCGTTTTGTACTTTGGAGTCAGAATCCCTGACAGTCTCGGTCCACCTCCGATACCCACAACCCGGATAACTCCACTTTCGCTGTCAACCGCACAAGCAAAAAAATATGCGGAGACCAGCAGGATGCCAGGATCAGAGGCCAAAAAAAGAATTAAAAATAATCCCCTTGGGTGGATTCGAACCTCCGATCTCTTGATTGACTTGTTCTATTACAGTCAAGCGCATTAAACCAACTATGCTACAAGGGGAACTGATGTCTTTCCCTAACTTATTTAGGCTTATACGTCTCTAGGCTGTCACCTATCCATGACCTTTCGATAACTTTTGTTCTCGACTCTCACTACCCTCTGTCCAATAAACAAGCTGCATGTCGAAAGGAATCATAGGTATTGGGTCGCCCATAGTTTTGTTTATCGCGCTCAGCTATGGGTAACACTGACGGCCCCTGGTCTACAAAGCAAGCATGACGCTCCTGTGTAAATCAGTTTCCCTTTCCCAGACTGAGCGTGGCAGTTGCCATTCAGCAAAATCACGCCCTTTCTCTAAAAAAAAGCCGTTAGTCCATGGTTGGATGAATGGACATCGCCCTCCGCTTACGTGATATAACATATCTCAAATAAGTCGGCATAATGAACCAACCTTTGATATCGAGGTCATGAGCACATCGGCAATTTGTTCATTTGCTGTTCGTTGCGGACGTGAGCTAATCCCAGACGCCACCTCCGTCGGGGGATGGAGAGTCTTGAGATTCCAGGGCATTTTAGCCAGTACGCAGGTCCGATGAAATACCTATCCAGCATGACTCGCGTTATCCAGCTTTGGCTTCCAAGCCCTGATCTGCATACCCCGGGTTTGTCCACCAATGGCTTGATCTCTCTGGCTTGCCCTAACTTCAACCGTCCCCGCAGCATCCAGGGCAGAAGGATATGTGCAGTGACTGAGACAGGGGTAGAAACATGCAGATTACTGCTTAATATCCTATTACCCGATGATGCTTCATGCAGGGAAGAGTACAATGTCTTCTCGGTTGCTCGACTGCAGGTATATATATCCGTACCCCTCGGGTCCATCAAACTGATCGCTTTGGGCTCAACATTCAGAAACTACAATTAGATTAAACTAATCACGACTACTATTTAGAGGCGTAGCTGCCCAAGATGAGAGCTACTCATTTGCCTCGCGTCGCAGCCTTTCTCCTATCATTACCGTCAACCCTGGCCATTCCCGACCTCTCTGCATCCCGCCACCTATGGTACAAATCTCCTGCTCCAGCATCAGACTGGGAGAACGGTGCCTTACCAATCGGAAATGGCCGCCTCGCAGCGACGGTTTACGGCGGGGTGGGCATTGAAGTCGTCACAATAAACGAGAACACGATCTGGTCGGGGCCGCTGCAAGAGCGCACACCAGGGAACGCGCTGTCCGCATTACCGGTTGCCAGAGAGCTGTTGCTGAATGGGAGTATCACCGAAGCAGGCAACTTTATCCAAAGGGAGATGATGCATGAGATCGAAAGTATGCGGGCGTACAGTTACTTTGGGAATTTCGAGATTGAACTTGGACATGGTGAGGAAGAGGTTGAGGAATATACAAGGTGGTTGGACACCAGGAGGGGCGATGCAGGCGTTGAATATGTTGTTGACGGGGTCAAGTACACGTAAATTATCCCTCCCATGTGTTCCGTACTGGGCGAGGCTGATGACAACAGACGGGAATATATAGCGAGCTATCCGGCTGGGGTTCTTGCTGCACGGTTCACCTCCAGCGAAGAGGGTGCTCTGACCCTGAATGCCACCTTTTCTCGTGCGTCGGACGTGACCTCACTGGAGGCTTCTGCGTTGGATGATACACCGTGGATCAGGCTGAGTGGAACGAGTGGTCAGCCTGTTGAGGAGGGTCCCATTGTCTTCAGCGGGCAGGCCAGCTTCGTGGCTGAAGGAGGTATGTCCTCTACCATTATTCCTAATATGCTCAAGAGCTCACTTTCCAAGCCAACTTTGCTGCCAGCAACGGCACCCTTACAATCACGAATGCCACGACAATCGATATCTTCTTCGACGCAGAGACGAACTACCGCCACGCCGATGAGGACGCGATTGATGCAGAGATCACTCGCAAGGTTTCCAACGCCCTCGACAAGGGTTATGAGAGGATCAGAGACGAGGCACTCGCCGACTCATCGTCCTTCCTCGACCGCGCCTCAATCTCTTTGGGTAACTCAACAGACGAAACCCGCGACCTCCCCACGGACGAACGAATTGCACTGGTCCGCTCAGCTGCAGGACTAGTTGAGGACCACGAACTCGCCACATTGGCATGGAACTACGGCCGACATCTCCTTGTCGCCTCGTCCCGAAACACTGATGCGGATATCGATCTTCCGGCAAACCTGCAGGGAATCTGGAACAACGAGACTACTGCCGCCTGGGGAGGAAAGTACACGATCAACATCAATACGGAAATGAACTACTGGTCCGCGGGTCCCACAAACCTCATCGAGACACAAGAGCCGCTTTTCGATTTGTTTAAAGTTGCGTACCCACGCGCAGAAAAGCTCGCAAAGGACATGTACAACTGCAGCGGTATAGTCATCCACCACAATCTGGATCTATGGGGTGATCCAGCTCCGGTCGACAACTACACCTCATCAAGCATGTGGCCGATGGGCGCTGCGTGGCTGGCAACGCACTTATTCGACCAGTACCAGTTCACCGGCGACAAGGAGCTTCTCGCTGACACAATCTACCCGCATCTCGTCGAAGTGACAAAGTTCTACCAGTGCTACACGTTCGAGCACGAAGGGTACAAAGTCACCGGCCCCTCCGTCTCGCCCGAAAACACATTCGTGATCCCGGACAACTGGACCGTCGCCGGAAACACAGCCGCAATGGACATCGCCATCCCCATGGACGACCAGATCATCTGGGAAGTAGTCAACAACCTGCTCGCCGCAGCATCGGAGCTCGGTCTCCCCGAAGACGACGAAACCGTCTCAGCCGCGCGATACTTTCTATCCCAAATCCACCCACCCCGCATCGGCGCCGCAGGCCAGATCCAAGAATGGCGATTTGACTACGAGATGTCTGCCCCGGGCCACCGCCACCTCTCACCCCTCTTCGGTCTGCATCCCGGAAGCCAGTTCTCGCCACTGGTGAACAGCACTCTTAGCACGGCGGCAGAAGTCCTCCTTGACGACCGTCTGAGTCACGGCTCCGGAAGCACGGGGTGGAGTAACGCGTGGTTCATCAACCAGTATGCGCGATTGTACCGGGGTGAAGACGTCTGGGCGCAGATTGAGAAGTGGTTCACCCTTTACCCGACGAATAACCTGTGGAACACGGATGACGGGGCGACGTTCCAGATTGATGGGAACTTTGGGCTCACGAGTGGGATTACGGAGATTGTGCTGCAGAGTCATGCGGGGGTTGTGCATATTCTGCCTGCGTTGCCGGGCGAGAGTGTCCCGCAGGGTTCGGCGAGGGGGTTGAGGGCCAGAGGGGGGTTCGAGGTTGATGTTGAGTGGGAGGGTGGACGGTTAAAGAATGCGGTTGTGAAGTCGCTCCGTGGTGGGCTTTTGAAGCTCAGGGTGCAGAATGGAGAGGAATTTTATGTTGATGGGGAGAAGTATGAAGAGGCTTTGGAGACTGAGGAGGGAGGGGTGTATGTCCTCACGCTGGGGTGAGCACTTAAGTCAGGTACTCAAGTATGGCATCATGCCAGACCCGCGATGATTCCCTGAACATCGCTGTTATTGGATCATTCCCAAGAGCTCGATCCCAAGATCGTTTTACTTGTAGGCGAAGGGATGCGGTTCCAACAACCTGCCATAGATTGTAATAGCGCGGGATGTACACCAGCTACTCAGTGCTGATTTGCATTGAGTAGAACAGGAAGAGTCGCTGAGACCTTATGGTAGGCTGTGGCAGGTGTTAGTAGGTAGATAGGTAGTCCTTTCTCCTGACCGAAGGTCACCAGTATTTCACAGACTGAGCGGGCTTCTGTAGGCGCTGGACAGGCTGAGGACAAACACCGCAGGACGTCTCAACCTCTTGACTTCGCTCCTTCCTCATCTGCTTTTCACCTCAACTATTGCCTCAACTTCTCTCTTCTCTCTTCTCTCCCTGACTTCTGCCTTCCCATCAATCTTCTACCTCCTTTCTTTCTCGCATAGTCCTCCATATCTTGTCTCACCTTGTCCCGCATATCTTCTCTTACCTTGTCGCTCGCATACTCTCTCTTCTCGCTCCTCGTTTCCGTCTTCATCTCACTCACTCGCATCAGTACTACCACCTTTCCCCTACCCTCGTTTACCAATTTACTCGAAAGCCAAAATCAACCAGCCATGACGCCCCCCTGCAAGCTTCCCCAGGAGCTGGCGGATATAATCATCTCCTTCTGTCTAACAGACATCCAACTACGCACAAATCTCAAAGACGAAGAGCGCTTGACTAGGAGCCGTCAGATCCTAGCACTGAGGCTGGTTTGCCGTAAGTTACATATCCGTCTTTGTGTCTTCGCTAACAATTTCTTGGATTTTAGCTGAATTTAACACCTCGATCGAAGACTGCTTGCCGCGTATGGACGAATTTTATGCGTGGAAAATACTATACCCGATACTGGCGAGGTTAAGACTTTTACACGCAGTTCAGCAGGTTTCACAGACTGTATTCCCGCTTGCATCTGCCGTTCGACGCGCCAGCGAGCTCATTCTGAACATACGGAGAGTTAGCTCTAATGAAGAGCGCGAGCAGGAACGCAGGAATGTCTGGAAAACTATTTGTCTCAGTGTTACACGTGGAGTTATCGCAGGGCGCCCGGCAGACAACAAGAGAAATAATGTTGTCTGGGAACAAAGTGACTGGGAGGAAGCGACACACACTATCGCAATTGGGACTGCTGCCTGCGAGGGCGACGTGTATCTTCTGCGAACGTTGATGAACCAGGGGTTATATACTGGATTCGCGGTTGACCATGTCTTCGAAGACCCTATGCTCACGGCCATGGATATGGGCCGAGATGATGCTGTGGAAACTCTTCGCACTATACCCCTTGTCTTAGGCCATAACAGTCTCAGGCACCATTGACTACTTCATCCCCTTTAAGCACTATATCCCACAGTGCATCTGGCTCGAGCAACGAGCAGCTTCAATTTGCAGCGGAGTCAGGAGACCTTGGCCTCTTCGTGCGTATTCTCGATGATACTACCCTGGACACGCCCGGTCGTGGTCTCTTCGTTGAAAACGCCCAAGGTCTGACACCGGGGACCATCGCGTCCAGGTTAGGTTGGGAAGCTATAGTTGAGGAAGTTTGTCGCCGCTTCAACAGTGGCCCGGAGAACTTACTCGATGATGACCAACTTTATCAACTTGAAAGTGCATCCGACAATGCCATATTTACGATGTTTGATGACTTCAATTCCGAAAAGGTTCAGCCCCAAATCAACGCCATGCTATATACCGCTGCCGTGCATGACCAGCTCACCGTCATGGACACCATCAGGAGATGCAGATGCAAGATGAACGCTGTCCTGGCGATCAGCGTGGACGAGCGGCATCATCCGGTGTACGCAGCAGCCGCCAACGGCCACTTCGAAGCTGCTCGCATACTCATGTCTTTGTTTAGACCTTGGGGAAAAGATTATGAAGAAGCAGCCTGGCTCGGGCTTCTTGGGTCCGCGCGGTCTGGGATGTGGAGATGTTTGACTACTTTCTATGCTTCGAATACCCACATACAAGGCCACCATACTTAATCCTTGAGCAAACTTTTGCTCTCATCCTCGCATCCGGGAATTAAAGTCTACTCCGCCGCGCACTGGAGTATCCATTGTTTAAAGGGAACGACTCTACATGCCGAGTGGCACTGACTTATATGGCAAAGTATGATGTTGAAGAGATACTTGAGCATCTCTTTATGAGGGATCCCATGCATGTTTGGTACACCGAGGAGTCCTGGGAAACAGCAATCTCCTGGGGCAAGGAGAGATACCCCGAAGCTGTGGACTTTTCGATTGAGAATGGGTTCTGTGACGATAGAGAATGAGAGATTCTTTCTCTTCTCTGCATGGATTGGCACTGATGGAAGGATGGGTCGAAATTAATTGAAGCTTTAACATGTTATGAATAATATGGTACCTTGGCATGAGAGGCAGCAGTCACTTTTCTTTGTTTAATGACCTCATTATGAAGAAGAGCGGATGCGTATAAATTGACAGTTCATGCATGCTGTGCTTCAAGCCTGATGATTCCCTACACTTTGTCAGTGGGAAAGTAACAGAATGGCAACTGTTTCTGTATGCCCAGAATAAAAGCTTTGGCGCTGGTGAGATAAAGAATTGAACGTGGCTTAGTGGCAAGTAAATGAGATGGCTAAAGCTTGTATGAAAGCTGTTCTGGGGCCATAGACAACGTTTCTATTCTTCCTTTAATTTCCCTCAATCACCACTCCACTATCTCTTTCTCTTTCCCTCATGCCAACGCAGCCTTTCCTCAACCAATCAATATTCAATGGCGGATTTTCAGAGCCTTAGCACCCCAGGTCGTGGACAATATTATAGAGTTCTATCTCCGAAATCCAGAACAACGCCCATAGTCCACATATTTAATGTCAGGCTTGAGCTTCTGCAACTAAGATACATTTGCCGCACGTTAAATGCAGTCGACTCCGAGAAGGCCGGAAGATACTGGTGGCGAGAATGAACAGCATCTGCAGGGACTTGGAGAGAGTGCCCCATAGTCGAAGAACTGGTATGCTCCCGACCATACTGGAATGGCGGACTACTTGCCAAAGGAAAGTAGGCACTTGAACAACTGCAGACGGGTCTTCGAGAACATGGACTAGCCTTCATCCTCGCCAATGGAAATTATATTTGTTTCAGCACGCGGTGAGATATCCTGCCTTACGTGAGGCTTTGCTCGTCGGCTTGTGCGGACTACTTTGCTGCGGCATGGTGAGCCGGCGATTATGATGGCGTGTTGTAGAGGATGGCACTCAGCATATATACCAAAGGTTCGTCCTGGAAGAGAATCCTGTCATGGAAAGAAGACATTCCCAGAAGCCGTGCACCGTGTGGTCTGTAAGCGGTATTGAAAAAACAACCGCAGTCTGAAGGACTGTGGGTCAAGGGCTGTTATTGTATTTTCAATTTCCAGCTGGAGATCTATGTACAGAAAGTGTGTTGGTATTCCCTATGTGCTTAATCTTAATTACAAAGCGTAGGCGAGAGGCTGTCCAGTCTCAAATTATGAAAGGTGGGATTGAGGCCTCTAAAGATAAAATATAACTGGAACATTCCAAAGCCAGATCAATCCCATGGATGTCTATTCCACAGGCCTTGTGAAGACGCCATGCAGACAGATGGACCTGGGTTATGTGAATTCCTTGTTTGCAGGTGAGGTCTTTTCTCAGCCAGATTGCAGCACAACGCAGCAACACATCTCCAGCCATTCTTCCGCTCTCCTTCTCTCTCTTGTTCCTTCCTTTTGTCCCTCCTGTCGTTCCTTCCTTACCGATCCACCACCATCGTCCCTTCTCCCTTCCATATCCTCCCCACAAATCAAGCAACCATGGTTTCCTTCCAGGCATTGCCGCAGGAGCTAAAGAACCAAGTACTGCAGTTCTACTTGGATGATCTCAAAGCCCAAGCCCGCCAGACGACTGCAGAAGCTTCAAAAGAGAGCTCCAGGTTCCTGCAACTGAGGAGTGTTTGCCGTATGCTACAAACTGTCCCATATAGCGGCTTCGTGGATCCCAGCTAACTTGCCATTCTGACTGTATTAGGATCGCTGTGCGCCACAATCAACCGCCTCCTCCCTCTTTCCGATGAATTCCAAGTGTTGGCCGACAAATGCGTCCCATTGGCCAGATTGCAATTGCTCCTCCTGGTTCGAAAAGGATCCGCAAATGAACACCTACTCGTTACTGCAATCCGCGAGGCGAGCGAGCTGGTCATCGCAGCGAAGGGGAACAAGGCGCCCACGCAACAAGGACGGGAGGATACCTGGAGGACGGTGTGTTCCGGGGTCACTGAAGCTCTCCTTTCCCGCCCCCTCTCCTCTGTCAGTCTGCGCAACCAAAGCGACAATACGGAGTGGATGCCCTTTCTGAAACTCCAATCAGACAGGGAAAGACGCAAGTTTTACAGCACAACGGCCCTAGTGGCCACAGCTCATGATGGCGACATTTCACTATTACAAGCACTGTTGGACTAGAACCCTGAAGCTGGGATAGGCTCTGCCGCCAAGCGTGTGTACGAGCTTGTGATCCTCACCGCGGCGAGGAGAGGGAACTTGGAAAAGGTCCGCGCCCTCCTTAAGGTGCATAATGTCGACGACCTTAGTGATTCAGCTCTAGACCGGCACGGCAACAGTATCCATCACTGCGCAGCTGCCTCGGGAGATGCTGATCTTTTCCTCTACTGCTTTGTGCATTTCAAAAATGCCTGGAAGGAAAACAAGCGCGGCCTGACGCCAATGGCCATGGCCGCTAACCTAGGGCGGATAGAGCTCGTTGAGGAAGTCTGTCGCCGGTACAGTAGTACGGGAATCATACCGCCTGACCGGCGTAACCCAACGAAGTTGTGTGGGCCCGTAGAGATCAAGGATATGATGGATGCTGCTGCCGCTGGAGGTCAAACTGCCGTCTTAGAGTATCTTAAGAGGTACATATACTGAGCGTTGGCCCATGGACTGGAGAAGGAGAGACGGCTTTGCATAGGTTTTGAGAGGAGTGGAAGCCTTCAGTTCGGTTTGGGATGCCCACCGGATACTGAGACGGACGGTGGACGATAATATTGGGAATATGGAATGGTGCCCCAAGCAGGCGCATTTTTCACTGGGTTGTAAAAGAAAGACTCATGCACCCTCCTTGAGCCGTGAAAACAAACCACGGGCACGGGTATCAAATGACATGAAACAGCCATAAACAACATACAAATCCTCCTTCCACAAACAAACAAACGCCATCACCAAAGTGGCTTCTCAGGCCAGGAGAACTGCCCCGGAATATGCGCAATCTCCTCATCCTCCGCCTCATCAGTATCCTCCTCCTCGCTCCACTCCTCACCTTGATCATCATCATCATCATACAACCCCTCCGTCAAAACCTCCAACACCCGCGAAAACTCTGGAAAAACACAGTAACTCTGCGCAAGGCCCTCGAGCTCCACAAGCTTCGGCCACAGCGCCTCCTCACTACTCACATCGTCCCTGATAACCCTGCGCTCCTCATCGCTCATCGCGCCAATAATCTCACACATGCCATTCTCCAAACTCTCATTCCACTGGAAATTCTTCTGCACCTCATGCCCAACAACATCATTCGAAGAGAGGCAAATCGTTTTCCCGATCTTGCGCAATACCGAGAGCCCATTGAATCGCGTTCTCGGGTTCGCCAGCGGCCCGCAGGATTTCACAATGGTGTCGATCGTGTCCACGACTTCGTTGTAGACGTCGAATGCCTTGTCGTACTGCTTTGACCCGCCGAGTCGGCTGTATGTTACGTTTATCTCCCGCCACACGGAGCGCGAGTAGTGGTCGAAGTTCAGCACGCGCGCGGACTCGGCGCGCTGCTTGGAGTTGATTGCGGCGGTGACGAGGGCGTGAATGTCGCTGTGCTTTGAGGCGGCGGTTGCGAGCAGGGTGTGGATCGTGGCTGCGTCCAATTCCGGGATTAGGGCGCTGATGTTGGCCATCTTGCGCTAAGTAAAGATGGTGCAGGTGGTGTCTTGGCTGGGTGAGATGGATGGATCTCGGGTCGCGTTGGTGCGCGTAAGTGTGGGCTTGACTGGGACAAGGAGAGCACCGCGGGTCTTGCCCCAACGTCTTGACTAGGGTTATTGGCGCAGCAAAGATGAAGAGCCAAGGCAACAAGGATGAATAGCAAAAGATGAACTTGGACGCGTGAAGATGGACTGGAGATGGGTGGTTCTGGTTGTTTAAAATGCGCACGGCTTGTGGACGGCGCTAGGCTGCTTCGGGCTTTGTGGCCTGGAGGGTCAGGCATCAGATTGACACAGTTAAAAGAAAGGTAAACACCAGAAAGAGAAAGGAAGGCTCTCACAGTGACCCTAATTTGATTTACTTGAGAATCATGCCGGAGCAGCAGTCTCTGCTCACTGCTCTACAGACTGAGCTGGAAACTATCCTGGAGCGAACAATGTACCATACTCAGTTATGTTGGGGACTCAGAGTCCGATAGGGCTTGCAAAGAAAGCGAGGATATTGACCCAATACTGTCCAAGTCCAGTGTTCGCTGCCTTGCCGCGTAACGTCTGACTTGAGGCTTGACATTGGGGTCCTACTGCACGCGCAGTTTAATGATGAACTTGAAACTTCTGATATGGCACCTTGATAAGCATGCGAAGCCCTGGCCGAGTATGAGGCTGTCTTATCCGGCCGAGCAGGGTTGAAGAGTGATTGACTTAAGGATCTGCCGAGGTCACTGGGAGTCTTGACTCGTCCTCAACTTGATTCTGTATAAATGTGTTCAGCCAGAGGAAAGTATAATTCCCAACATTGGAAAACAAGCGGGCTCACCTCAATACTCAAGCTTTTACGTCTAGGCCCATGGATCTCAAGGGTCCTTGCCTAGGCTTTCCTCGTCTCATCCGAAGAGGAAGCTCGTCGTTCCCACCCAACTCACGGTACTGCGGGCACGGTCATAGGGAAAATCGCATATGGCTGGCACTCAAATCCCTTGCTTCAGGACACCGTTGATCCCAAGCTGCACTTCCCGATGAGATCCATCTGCTTGAGTTTCGGCATGTGTCCTGCGGCCTGAGCTGCGGCGGTGGAGAGTTCATCTAGAACAGTAACGGGTGCGTCCGATAGTCATCAGGGAATTTGTCCTGCCGGGCATCGTTCATCGATGGATCCATGTACAAGGTGTCCGGATCACGATCGAACTCGTAGTCTGGACACTGCAACCGGAGGTTATCGACTGCGACGGGGTGAGGGCTGATATGCCTCCTGTATCTTCCTCCAGACGTGACTGCGTGGATATGGTACCATAGTCTATTGCCTTCTTACTGGCATGGCAGAAGGTACCAGTCTCAGTATGCATAACCTCAGCCATTATCGGTCACTTACCATGCATAGCACACAAGCTATATCGCTGCTGGAGGCCACGAGGCTGAGATTGATGAACTGACAGCTACTTAACTACCATTGCCCTTACCCCAATGGCCCTCTCAGCTGCATCACCAAATTCTGGAATACCCCTATTCGGGGTCTTGCCATGTGCAAAGGATATTTTGGAGACGTCGAATTCGTGAGGTTGTTTCAAGCTCGAACGTGAAACGAGCCGACTGCGTACGCCGCGCAACCGGCCAAGTGGGACTGGCCCGCTGAAGCTCCTGACATCACACTCCCTGGCCACAGAGACAACATGACATGTGTCCACTCTGTTTCGGACAGAGTGAAGAGCCGTCTAGATTCCGTCGCCCCTGGTCGAGACCGAGTCTCAAGTGGGCGGCCCCTGAGATTAGCGGAGATCGAGACAGCTATATAAGCCTGGGATCTGCCGCCCTAAACTGAGCTTAACAACACCTCAACTAAACCCATCACATCCAGACCATCTACGCTTCTCGCAAAATGCAGCTCATCTCCCTCGCTGCCCTCGCGGCCCTAGCCCCCGCCCTCGTCACCGCAACCCTCGACCCGGCCTCCTCCAACACAAAGGGCTACAAGCCCACCAGCCTGAACTGCGAGGGTTCGTCCACCTCCCCCCAATCCCTGGGCCATCCATGCTAACATTCTTCTCCCCGAAGCCGCCAAAGTCTCCAAAGCAATCCAAGCCGCCGAGTGCTCCCACAACACCCGCACCTCCGAGACCCAGACCTTCGCCGTCTTCGAGGTCGACCACCAGTACGACGGTAACAACGGATACCCCTACGGCACGTGCAGCGCGTACACGTGCACCGCGCCGACATCTAGCGAGCTGGAGGCCGACGACGACTACTGGGTGTTTTACTGGGGCGATGAGGGCGAGAGCAGCGGGTACGGTACGGACTGTATCAAGGACCCCAACACGGGCGAGTGCGGGTGTGAGAATTCGGATGGGACGTTTGTTGCGGGTAGTGATAGCTGCGTTTAAACGATTGGCAGTAGCAACCCCTTCCATCTCTTCCTTGAGCGGGCTCTCGTGGGATTGAGGGATTGGAATGGTACGGATCTGGGATTCTGTATCGTTGAGTGGAGTTGTCACTACATGGTTTGAGAAAATACTAAGGAAACATGCTATGTCCCGAGTCTCATGAGAACACAGACCCGTGCTATGTAGATGTTGTCGAGTACCTAGTTAAGCTCGTTATAAACCCGGACTAGGGTATATACCTTGAGATCCGTCCACGTATACAGATATTTCCTCGTGCTATGCCTGTAACTACCAGACAGGAAGCCCGACCCGGAGCCCAGGTTTCTCCTCCAAACGTGCATGAAATAAGTATGGATTCGCTCCACCATAATGCCCCAGGGCAATCCCTCCCGTCTCCAGCTCGATTCGCGAGCGTCGCGTGACTCGTTTGCTTCGTAAACCAAGTCCTCGGCGTGGCTGCTCGGGGTGAGCACCGTGTATGGTTTATGATATACTCCGTAATCCAGATCACCGTGCCCTGATTGGATTGGGCCCTCGATGTGTAACCTTGCGGCTGCAGGTGCCGCGGCCCGCTCCGCCATCCGCCAGCCGGACGTCCCGGCAGGCTGGTTCGCTGTGGTAGCCAGGCGGCCCAGGCCAATCGCCCGTGGGTGTTGGTTTGCTGGACGTGGAGTAAGAACAGGAGGGCGGAGGATCTCGTACGTCCTGACGAGACACGGAGAGCCTTTGCGGGCCAACAGGTTAGGGCGGTTGTGGGATTATGATGATAAGGGTACCTATCATAGGAATAGAATTTTTCTGCCCTGTGTCTAACCTAGTATACTGTCTTGTCTAGCCTTGCTACGGTTCACGGATGGCTTTTGGAAATACTGGCATCCTGCCGTAAAAGGGGTATCTGCATGTATCTACTACACCTAGGTACCCTTTTTATGCGGGCCTCGGCCTACGAACCATCATTTATACAATCTGCAGACTCTATTCCGCTCCTAACAAGGGTTGGTAATCCATATTTGATTAACATCTCGGAAGAGGGTTATAGAGCGGGTTTCTCCTAAGTCGGGGATGACCAAGCTCTGGATTTTGTGTCTCCAATCTCCATACCTATTTCTTTCGTAGCCCTAACAGCTACCCATGTACCGGAGATCCATGCTGAGAATGCTACCGATACATGCACATTATGGATGCAACGCAAACCCGAGACACCTTCCAAGGTTAATAACACTGCTATTTGCTTCTGGAGAGATTGAGTCAAAATTAATATGCTATTCATGCTTATACAAAGAGCATCAACCCAATCACCAGGCAAGCCCCTCCTCCCTCCCCTTCGCCACCCCTCCCCCCAACCCAACTTCATCAACTTCGTACCCCGCCTTCCCCGGCACATCCGCACACAGCGACCTAAAAACCCCCTTTCCAAACGACTTATACGCCGCCGCAAGCCCATTCCGCCGAATAAGCGCCAACTCCATATCATCCATAACAAACTCAAACCTCTGCCCCGCAACAGTGACCGTCCGCGCAGACGTATCGATTTCAATTGCTGCACCTGTGCGCGCAAGGTCATAGAACCGCTCGTCGGTGATGATGATCCCCAGAAGACCGATGGTGGGTTGGTTCCGGCCGTAGATGAAGGAGAAGGACTTTGCGATGACGCATTTCACGCCGAGGCCTGGTGTTCACCATACATGTTAGTTTTTCGAAGCAGGGGGCTATAGGTATGGGAATGGACGGGGATAGGTGGTACCGTACCTTTCAGCGCCCGCGGTGCTTCCTCGCGCGACGAGCCGCAGCCAAACGCTTTACCGGCGACGACCACCTCGAGTCCCGCGCGGACCTGGTCGCGGAAGTCGGGGTTTGTGAATTCGAGGCAGTGGCTGCCTAGGAGGGCGTCGGTGGGGCTTTCGAGGATGAAGGCGGCGGGGATGATCTGTTGTTGATATTAGATCGTTTGTTAGTACCGTACTGAGGAGGACCTGACGCACCGCATCGGTGTCTACGAAGTCGTCCAGGGCGTAGACCTTGCTCCTGATTATCCCGGCCTCCGAATCACGAGGCTTTTCAAGTTCTGTGGACTGTGGCTGGTCTAGAGAGGGAGCAACCCGCGGCTCGAAAGACCGGTAGGGCTCGACGTATGCTGGCATTGGGGCGGGCTTTGTGCGCTGGTTGGCAAGGGCAATCTTGGCTGGGCGTTTGCCAGCGGCGGGTTCGGCTGCCCTCCAGTCACGGCATTTGTCTAGCAGTCTTTGATACCTCTCCGGCCGGATCTGGCTCAGCAGAGGTCGCGGGTCTGTGACTCTCATACTGAAGGAAGAGGCGGCCACAACGGCTGCAGAGCAGATGTGGCCAACGGATCCTAAACAAGGAGTTGTCAGTCGAAACCTGGTGAAAGACAAGCAGAAAAGCAGACAAGGATATGATACTAACCATGGCCCATGCGGTTCTTGAAATTCCGATTCTGAGACGACAGCCAGTTCTCGCCATGGCCCGCTCGGTCCGCACCCATACCCAGGCACAGACTGCAGCTCACAGCAGGCTGCTCGAACCCGGCGCGCTCGAAGAAATCCAACAGACCCAGCGCCCGCAGGCTACTGACGATCGGCAGACTCCCGGGGACAACCATTCGCTTCCCGATGGCTAGCTCTAACCCCCGCTGCAGCCCTACTTCGAGCACCAACGCGGCGAGCACAAGGTCTTCCTCCGTCGTTGTACAGGCCCCGATGAAACAACCGTCCAGCGGCATATCCAGTTTCTCAGTTACGGGGACCACATTGTCTGGCGAGGGATATAGCGCGACGAAGGACTCGACCTCGGAAAGGTCAATGTGGAAGGTTGCTGCATACGATGCGTCGGGGTCTGGCTGGAAGTACACCGAGTTGGATCGGTACCGACTGTGTCGGCGGCTCGACACGAACTGATGCGTGACTTCATCTGGCACGAAGATGCCGGTGATTGCGCCGAGTTCCTATATCGTTGTCAGTGGAATGTGTAAACTGAGCCAGGTGCAAGTGCAGACCGTGCACATATTGCAGATCGCAAACCGGGCATCACAAGATAAATGCTTCGCACCGGGCCCGCCAAACTCCACGATCCGATCAGCTGCATGCGTGTTCCGCCGAAGCTTCTTCAGGATGTACAGGATGATGTCCTTGCCGCGGATATACCACGCCGGCTCCCCCGAGAAATGCACGCGGATCGACTCAGGGCTCTTGATCCACGTCTCGCCTGTCGCTAGGGCGGCCATGACATCTGCTGCGCCTAGTCCGATAGCCAGCGAGCTGACGGCACCGCCGGAACAGGTATGTGAGTCGGAGCCGATCACCAGCATGCCTGGCTCTGCGCGCTCGCGGACGAATTCAGTGTGCAGGATGGTATACTGGGAGCTTGATCAGAAAGTGAGGGTACTGCAGGTGCCGGACGGCTACGCACGTTGGAGCCTTGGTTCTCGGTCATTTTGAACGTCTTCCTCGCCTCTTCCATGCCGCCCATGAGCTCCTGGACACGGGGCTGATGATACACGCGCGGGTCGACCGTGTGGTCGCCAGCGAGCCAGAACCGATCGTTGCGCCAGACGGTGGGTTTCTCGCCGATGCTTGTCATGCTGTGTTTCATGCCCTAAGCAATATCTTAGTCTCAATTCCCATGTTCCGTTCAGGGAAGCGGACCACTTACCACCCAGGACAGCTCGCTAGCAATGACCCAATCCACCGAGAGACGCATGAGCTCTCCAACCCGTACCCCCTGAGGCGACGGCAGCGAAAACGCATGCTGCACGAGGATCTTCTCCGCCAGCGTCATGGGCCATGTGTTTGGGGTTTTGGCTGGTAGAGGCGCGGGCAGCTGCGCAGCGGACTCGGTGGCATTGAGGGCCTCGAGCCAGGCTTCAATGAGAGATTGCACTGACTGGAGTTGCGTCGGCTCGCTTGGCCAGCCTGAAGAGTCATTGCTGATGATCGCCAAACCGCCCCGGTCGGTTGGCGTTATGCAGAGGTCCAAGACATGCTGTAGGCTGGACTTTTCAGCGTGTCGTCCGATGGCTTCGAGGGCGGCGCAGAGGTTGGTGAGGAAGGCGTAGAGGCTGTGGATTGACGAGCTGCTATGCTCAGTATCATCGAGGGCTGCTAAAGTCAACGTAGGAGGGTTTGACTGCGATGATTCTCCTGAACGCTCTTCCACCACAATCCCGCGTGCGTCTGCGAGGATCCGGACGACGCCGCGCACAAAATCGACCACTTCGTCGGAGAGAGACCCCAAGAAACATAGCGAGATTGACGCCTCAGACATGCTTGCTAATAAAGTAGATCTCATGGGCCGGAGCTGGAGGCTGGGTGGTGACGCTATTTATTCCATTCGACGAGGAGGCTTGGATCGCTGCTTACTTTCTAAGCTATATTGACAAAGAAATGGGGCTACTAAACTGCGCTAACCATGCATGTCTATCTATCTTCATGTTCTCTCAGATAGGCCACCACCCGGTCCCCAAATTCCGCAGTGGAGGTCATCCCCCCGACATCCCTCGTCCTTCCACCGCGTTCAATGACTTTACTGACTGCCGTCTCAACTGCTGCAGCAGCTGCGGGCATATCCAACGAGTACCTCAGCATCATCGCCACCGAAAGAATCATCCCAGTCGGGTTGATGATTCCTTGCCCCGAAATATCCGGCGCAGAGCCTAAACGATCACCGTCAGCGCCCCCCTCCCTACCACCTGCAAGGGTACCTATGGTAGGGTAAAGACATACCGTGAACAGGCTCATAGATCCCACGCACGCACCCCGCCTCCCCTCTCGGAATCGCACACAGACTAGCACTCGGAAGCAGCCCCAGACTGCCCGGAATCGCACTCGCCTGGTCGCTAATGATATCGCCAAACATGTTGCTCGTCAGCACGATCCCGTTCAGCCTCGTCGGCCGAACCCCCAGCGTCATCGCCGCGCTATCAATAAGCATATGGCTCAGCTGCACCTCCGGAAACTCCCCCCGGATCGTCTCCTCCACGACACCCCGCCAAAGCCGTCCGCACGCCGCCAGCAGATTCGCCTTGTCGAGACTGGTGATTGGCGTTGGAGGCTGCGTGCGCATCGCCAACGTCCCCGCTAAGCGGGCGACGCGCTGGATCTGCGCGCGCGTGTAGTGGTCGAGGTCCGAGGCGGCGTTAAGGGTTCCGTCGTGCTCTGTCCGAGCGCCGTAGTAGATGCCGCCGGTGAGTTCGCGGATGATGAGGAGGTTGGCGTCGCGGCAGACGTGCTCTTTCAGTGCTGATGTCTCGAGGAGGATGGGGTGGATGAATCTCACGGGGCGCAGGTTGCCGAATGCGTCGAGGGCTTTGCGCAGACGGCCTAGGCCCGATTCAACGGGGATGGGGGCGTTGGCCCATGCCTGGGTTGGTATCGGTTAGAGTAGGGAGTAGAGGAAGGTCGTTGAGGAGGGCCATACCGGACCTCCTACGGCGCCTAGGAGAACCGCGGATGCTGCTTTTGCGTCCGTGAGAGCTTCGTCTGTGATTGGGGTGCCGTGGGCATCGAATGAGGCCTGTATAGGCGTCAGAGGTTACTTTTCATGATTAGTCCGTGTAGTCGAGGCCACGTACCCCGCCGAGCAGGTGATGCTTTAGGTTGAAGGTGACTTCATGTTTGTATTGACGTTGGATCTCCTCTAGAACCTATGCTGGGTCAAAGCTATCCACGAATTGTAGCAATCGATTGAGCGCCGTACTTTGAGGCCCTCGGCCATCACCTTGCCGTGTGAGAATCGTCAGCCTCTCTTGTTCATATAGACGAGTAATGTCTCCACAAACCTCGGGGCCACCGTAGTCTCCTGGGAATACGACAATGTCGAAGGTCTTAGCCATGATGAATGATGGAGATTGCTGATGACCTTCGCATGGGTCAGGGAGAGACTATATATACCTCTGCCAGTCTCCCCAGTAATTGTCATCCCCAACTCCAATCCCTCGAGCATATCAAAAGAGACTACCCTAACACACCATGGGCGCAACAGAATACCCCCGTCCTCCAGTAGCTGGACTTGGTGAGCATCTACAATTCTGCCTACGACGACTACGACTAACTACATTCCCCATCAGATTGGAACAACCTAGGCTTCGAGCCAGTGGAAGGTACCCTATACCTCCAACCCAACCTCTTCTCACACAGTCCCCAAATCCCACCCATTCTAACCCTCTCTTTCCACGCAGTAAACGGCCACATCGAATCCCGCTTCACCCCGTCCACAAACACCTGGAGCCCACCGACCTTCGTCGCAGACCCGCACATCCGCATCCACGGCCTCACGCCCGCCCTAAACTACGGGCAGCAGATCTTCGAAGGCCTCAAGGCCTTCCGCACCCGCTCAGGCCGCATCACGCTCTTCCGCCCCGACCAAAACGCGGCCCGGTTCGCGCGCTCCGCACGCGCCGTCTCGATCCCGCCGGTCCCCTCGCACATATTCTTAGAGGCGGTGCATGCGGCCGTCGCCATGAACAGCGAGTTTGTGCCCCCGCTGGGCTCGGGCGCGGCGCTGTATATCCGTCCCTTGGCGTTTGCGAGTTCCGCGACGGTGGGTCTGAAGCTGGCGGGCGAGTTTCTGTTTTGTGTGTATGTTTTGCCCGTTGCCGGGTTGCATAGGCCTTTACCGGTACATGAGGGGGGGGACAAAGAGACGAGTGTTAGTGGGGTCAAGGCGTTGGTGGTGGAGGACTTTGATCGGGCGGCGCCGCTCGGGACTGGGGATGTCAAGGTTGGAGGCAACTACGGGCCTGTTTTGGGGAGGATTGATGCGGCGAGACAGGAAGGGTATGGGCTTACGCTGCATCTGGATAGTCTGAGCCATAGTGTGGTGGATGAGTTCTCGACGAGTGGGTTTGTTGGGGTTCGAAGGGGGACTGGGGATGGGGATGGTGGGCAGGTGACGCTCGTGGTATCGGACAGCCAGCAGATTGTGGCGAGTGTGACGATTGACAGCGTCTGTGAGATTGCGAGGGGGCTTGGGTGGGCGGTTGAGAAGCGTCCTGTGAGTTTTTTCTATCCATGGTTCTTGGGTCGTCCTGATACGAGGATGCAGATTGCCTTCACGGAGGTGAGCGAGTTCGTGGAGGTGTATGCGGCAGGCACGGCGGCGATGCTGGTGCCCGTGCAGTCCGTGGAGAGACGGTCCACTGGGGAAGTCATTCATTACTCGACTGACTACGCTGACCCGACGAGTGTCTTTGCGCAGCTGTACAAGGCCCTCTCTGGGGTTCAGCAGGGATTGGTCCCGGACCAGTGGGGATGGACGCAGGAAGTGCTGTGGCCAAAGCAGTTGGACTCGCAAGACTGAGCTGAATATTTAGAATGAGGCCAGCCACCTGCAGGTGGAGTGAATGCTAGACTTTAGTTCACTGATTAGTGCAGTTGGTACGCTGAGTCAGACTCCATCTGCTGCTGTAGGCTACGCCACGAAGACCCCCGTGACTAAGCTGGCGAAAGGAAGTATACACCTTATAAGGCACTGATGGTGATCAAAGTATAGAGAAGAATGGAAAGCAATTGAGACCATCGCAATGCCGACCATCTGCGCCGGCGGACAGACCCTGCAGGGCAAATACGGCGGACGGGCTCCCCCGGAGATCCAGTTGCCTGACAGACAATGGCCGTCCAAGAAGTTGACAAGCTCACCAATATGGCTATCTACGGACCTGCGAGATGGAAATCAGGCTCTCCCAAATCCCATGGTATGCACTCCTGGGTGGCCGTTACGCCAGAAGGCCACAGATGAAGACTAACCCCGACAGACGACGGCACAGAAATGGCAGATGTTCCGCCTGCTGGTGGACATCGGATTCAAACAGATCGAGGTCTCATTCCCCTGCGCCTCAGACACCGAGTACGCCTTCACGCGCGCGCTCGTCGAAACCCCCGGCGCGGTTCCCGACGATGTGAGCCTGGAGGTCATGACGCCGTGTCGCAAGGAGACGCTCCTCCGAGCAGTCGAGAGCCTAAAGGGAGCCAAGAAAGCAATATTGTTCACATACCTCGCAACCAGCGACAACTACCGCGAGACGATCCTGCAGCGGTCCGAAACCGAGGCCCTAGAGCACGTGCGCAAGTGCATCGAGTACGCCCGCGCCATCACCAAAGACGATCCAGAAGCTAGCCAAACAGAATGGACCCTCGGCTTCGGCATGGAGGACTTCGCGAATGCCCGTCCGCACGCTGCACTCCGTCTGGCAGCCGTCATCCAAGCCGCCTGGCAGCCGTCACGCGAAGCCCCCGTCATCCTAGGGCTGGCGTCGAGCGTCGAGGCCGCAACGGTAAACGTCTTCGCCGACCAGGTGGAGTATTTCTCGCGCCACCTCGCAGCCCGCGAAACGGTATGCATCTCCATCCACACGCACAACGATCGCGGCGGCGCCGCAGCGGCCGCGGAACTGGCCTGTCTGGCGGGCGGGGACCGCGTCGAGGGCTGCCTCTTCGGGAACGGCGAGCGCGCAGGCAACCTGGACCTCGTCACGGCCGCGATCAACGTCTACACGCAGGGGATCGAGACCGGGCTGGACTTCTCCAACCTCCCCGGTATCCGCCGCGTGTATGAGGACATCACGCGGCTGCCTGTGCATCCGCGGACCCCGTACTCCGGGGACTTCTACTTCCGCGCGTTCTCTGGCGCGCATCAGGATGCGATTCGCAAGGGGCTGCGGAGGCGGGCGGCGGGTGGCTCCGGCATCCCGTGGAAGGTCCCGTACCTCCCGCTTGACCCGGCGGATTTGGGCGTCTCGTTTGATAGTGTCATTGGCGTGAATAGCCAGAGTGGGAAGGGGGGCGTGGCCTGGCTGATTCAGAACGGGCTCGCGTTGAGCCTGCCGACGCCGCTGGCGGCGAGCTTTAGCCGGCTTGTCAAGGAGCAGTCTGTGGCGCAGGAGAGGGGGTTGGCTGCGGAGGAGATATGTGCTCTCTTTGCGGATACGTATGATTTGCGAGACTCGCCCAGTGGCCGCGTGTTGCGGGAGCAAGGGTACGTTGCTGCGGCTCATTATCCTGGTTGTGCTCTGGAGCTGGAAGATATCACCGACCAGGCTGCGAGGGCGGCGGGGATATTGACGAGGGGCTTGGATTTTCTGTTGCGGTGCACCAGGGTTGTAGCTCACCCGCTCGGGGTGCCTGATGCAAGTCTGACGGTGGTGTTTGTGCAATGCGCAGTCACGGAGACTGCAGAGGAAGCATGGGGGATCGGGATCGGGTTCAGCCAGGACTCGGCCATTGACAGGGCTTTGATGTCGGTGATTAACGTACGTCACGATCCGATGCTAACTCCTTTTCCTACTGACCATTCCAGCGGTATCACCAGCCTACGCCGATTCCCAACAGCAGCGTAGAGTCCCGCCCAGAGCCCATTGAGGTGGTTAAAGTGTAGGTAAACTATGGTACCCATTGGAACGATTGCATGAAATATGAATAGAATGTACACGAATTGATACCAATGCAACTCAATACCAAACCCTACCCATAGGTCCTCGTCAACTTAATCTGATTATACTCCAGCGCCGTCAAACCATCAGCATAGCGCACCTCCTCGTCCTCCCCCACACACTCAGGCAGCGAATCAACCAGGACCTCCCGATCGGGCTTGCCAAAATACGCCACAGAGAACCGCTCCTCCAGCACCTCATCCGTCTCAACATCCTTCCCCACGGGCAACATCACCCGATGATTCGCCGAGCACAGCCGCCGGTTCGTCCACCGCTGCAGACAGTCCCCGATGTTAATCACCACCTCGTACCCGTCCTCCGGCTCAACGGGGATAAAGCTGCCTCGGTTCCGCTGGTCCTCGACCTGCAGCCCGCCCACCGAGTCCTGCAGGAGCAGCGTCAGCGTGCCGAAGTCCGAGTGCTCGCCGATCCGCATGTTGGTGCGCAGCGCGCTGCAGGGAATTGGCGGGTAGTGCACCAGGCGCAGCTCGCTGGTGTTGTGGCGGTGTTTGGCGGGCAGGAGGGTGGCGGGGAGGTTGAGGCCCGTGGAGATGGCGCGTAGGAGGTGCGCGTGTAGGTCGTCGCAGGACTTGTAGAAGGATTCCATGAAGGTCCGGAAGCCGGGGAGGTCGGCTTCGTCGACCCATCTGTTTGGGAAGAGCGCGTCGTCTGCGGCGCCTTGGTCGAAGGATTCCTGTGAGCTGGTTAGATACCAGCGTCTGGTTCATACTGGAGACTAGGCATGGGACATACTCGGAACTCATTGTAGCTGTCGGTGCGCTGCTGGTCCTGCTCGAAGCCGGAGATCTTCCACACGCGCTCTTGGCCGATGGCGCTCCAGCCGCGATGGGGATTCGGGGCCTCCGGGTGCTTGGCTTTGGCTTTGATGGTGTCTGGCAGGGCGAAGAAGGACCGGGCCTGGCCTTGTCAGTCATTCGTTGCGAAGTTGGTGTGACTTGGGCCTCACGTATTTGAAGATCTCGTCTATCAGTCCGTTCGATAGTGTAGTGTTGCGGACCTTTGCAAAGCCATAGACCGAGAGGGTCTCGCAGAGGTCCGCACAGAATTTCAAGCGCTCCTCTGCGCTGGTGCTGCGGAATTGGTTAAAATCAAGGGTGGTGATGGCCATTGTTTTTCAGAGTCGGAATGTGATTGAGAGGGAATAGTCTCCAGCTGGGAAACATTGGAAGCTATATACATAGTTATATACGCCGGCAAATACAATGAATGGCATTCAGCCCCAGTATCGACGGCTGAAGATGGCTGAGGATGGCAGTGTCTTTACCCATCTCACTACGCTGTCCTGGCATGGAATGTGTATCATACGACCAAAAAGGCAGCTTGGGAAAGGGATTCCGAACGTTGACTATATATATATATATATATATCAACTGGCTCGGAGGCCTGCGAGGACTGTCAAAAGGCTACAACAATCGCTAAAGATATATAACCATGCCAGGAAGGCGACTACAGATTGAATAATTTATAGTAATAAAACGACCATAACAGAACTACCCTAGATAACACCGTATATTCATAAAGCACATCACGTCCACAAAAGGCCAGACACCATAACTTCCGCATTGATCCTGGGATAGTCAGTCGTAGTCCAGAGCGGCCAAGTGCATCCAAACCCACCTAAGCCCCATTCAAGAAACCGGAATCATCATATCGGGCCGTCGCGCAGCCTGAGCCATCTGATTGAAATTCTGCTGCCGGACTCTGCGCATATAGGCCCTCTGCTCACGGGGCACGTCGCGGTACGCCGCGTTGTCGCGATCGAGGGGATTAAACATCTGGTAGATGCCGATGCCGATGAACAGGGCCGCGACGCAAGCGACCAGGACGACGAAGACGTAGAGGGAGTATTTCGACGATTGATTCATTGTGCCAGAGGCTCGGAGGGGTAGCCTAGGAGGGGAGCGATGGAAGAGTCAAGGTGCCAAGTGGAAGTGGAGGTGGACGGGGGAAATTAATATCGACGGCACGGAAGGAATCGAGATGCGGTGGCTGGAGGGGGCCGCGTCTAATTAAAGCAGCTGAGGCTTGGGTTATATTGCGTCTAGCTATAGGCAACGTCACTGCGTAGGTGCCTAATGCATGGCCTGCATGGTGTGAGGGGATCGGCGTGTTTCTCGACAAGAGTCGTATTAGCATGTCCTCGACCTTGGGAGTAGCATCCATCCACCTGGGCTTGGATAGGTCTAGCAGAACTAGCTCTAGCCCTATCAACTAAAGTGTTTGATGTCCACTACATCTACTACGGTTAGCCTCCTCACTTATCTCGTCGCCGCACGGTCAGCCTGAGATTCGCATCCGGCTTAGCCGTGCCCACCTGCACCAGCTTATCCACCGGCTCCGTCAGTCGTTCGACATCGTAGTGCCGCACAACATACGCCAACATGAGTTTCATCAAATGCGCCGCAAAGAACCGCCCCGGGCACGCGTGCCGGCGGCCGCCCATGCCCGAATACCAGAAACGAGTCGGTCGTCGTCGCCAGGGAGGGCTGTTTCCGCGCGGCCGGGGGCTCCGGCTCCGCGGCATCTCCCGTACGGCCGTCGCCGGGCTCGATAACAAATCGGAATGCGTTAAAAGTCAACGGGTCTGGGTGGGAAGTAGGATCGCGGTGGATGGAATGCGCGGGCACACACAGGCGGATTCCCGCAGGGACGTGCAGCGGATCGGCCGTGCTCTCGAAATCGATCCCGTGCGGATTCGATACCACGCGGGGCAGCTGGATGTGCGAGAAATCGGAGATGCGCATGGACTCGCGGATCGTGGAGTCGATGCGCACGAGCTGGTCTAGCTGGGCTTTTGTCCAACACACCCCCGGCTCCTGCGGCAGCACTCGGTCGCATTCTTCCTCGAGACCCGCGACGAAGGACTCGGCGTTTGGCGAGCTGTAGAGGTCGGCGAGGGCGTGGGCTATGGCCATTGCGGTTGTTTCGATCGAGACGAAGTTGAGCATGAGGAGGCGCTGCGTGAGGAGGAGCGGGTCTAACTCGGCGGCGTCGTTGCGTTGCAGGGCAGCTTCAATGAGCCATTGCAGGACGTCGACCTAGAATAACAACCTATATGAGTGTGTATCATTATCAGGCTCGGGGTACTGACTGGTGCTTCCCAAGTGCAGCCGTCCTTGCGCTTCTCGATTGTTTCCTGGACCCGGCGGTGGATGACAGGGACGCAGATCTCCCTGCAAATGGCCAGGTCGCGGCGATACCAGACTGTCACGACTGGTGCCACCACTGGCCGCAGCCATCGCGGCAACAGACGGATGATGATGCCCGCCCTGCTCACCGCGTCAGAGTACCTACGCAGATGCTCGAGGAAGGCCTCGTCCCGGCAGATGTCCGCCCCGGCAAAGACGCGGTTGGCGGTGCGGGTGACGATCTTGAAACATGTCGCGAGCAGACCGATCTCCTTCGCCGCGGCTGTGTCGGTGCCCCAGTAGTCCTCAAAGGATCGGTGCAGCTCATCGTGCAGGGCGGCCGCAACGAGCGGCAACTGCCTCGTCAGCTGACGGCGCACGACATCGAACTGCAGCGGGATTGTCGCTGCATGGTGGCCAAGAACGCCTTGGGTATAGTAGACTTGGAGTTGGTCCTCGTGGATGACGTTATGGTCGAGATCCGCATCTGGCTTGGAGAGGTATTCGCGCAGTGACGCGGGCGGCAGCACCAGCCAGGAGGGTTCTCCGATGTTGGGCAGCGCAAAGGCGGTTTTGGCCTGGGAGAACCGGTGGAATCCGTCCTCAACCATCTCGCGGACGCTGGTGATGATCCGCAGCTTGCTTCGGGCGCCACTGAACCATTCGTTGCGGACTCCAGCCCATGGTTGTGAGGCCCAGAATGCCCTGTGGGTGCGCGAGCGGTTCAGCTGGATCACATAGCTGGCTATAACCACGGCGAGCACGACGGATAGGGCGAGCAGGGCTGGCGTACTCTCTGGAGCGAACATGTTAAGGTTTTCCATAGAACATGAACGAGATAGTGTCAATGGATGACGAGAGAATAAGAAGACATGCCTGGATTGCTCAGCGATGGGCCTGGCACATGTGTGGACTGACAGCTTCTAAAACATTGCTCAGCCCTCTCACTCTCCAGCGGTGACACTGCCACAGAGACAGCATATCTATGCGCAATCCACTGGATGAATGACTGCCAGTTGATGGTTCTCCCAGTTGTTACTCAGCAGCAGGATTCGGTGAGAGGCTACAGCGTCCAGGGGGAGCTGACTAACAGCCCTAACTCAGCTGGCTCAGCTGGAGAGAGAAGTATACCTGGGCAGTGTCCAGTCAACGCTAGGTTCTCACATACCATACTAATCTTGTGCCTGAAGATTCGAACCTTCTCTCTTTTCCTATAGACTGTACACTACGATCAACAACCCACCAATCTTTCTTATAGACTGTACACTACTTCAACAACACAACGACAACCAACACCTACAGAAGATGGACAACACAACAAACGAGATGGACCGAAAACGCATATTCACAGAAATATGCGCCGAGGCATTGAAGATCGAAACAGACGACCTGGACGAGACTCGCTCGTGGGTCGCACTGGGCGGCGACTCGATCGCGACCATCCGGCTCATTGCGCGATGCGAGGAGCGAGGAATGAGAGTCATGACAGCAGACGTGATCCGGTGCGCCAGCTTAACAGAGCTCTTCGAACACGTCCAATATCTACAGCCTTCCGAATCAATCGACCGCGAACTCGAGCCCGAAGAAGCCGATGCAGCGCCCTTTACTCTATGGCCTGAATACCACGCCGCGACAACAGAGGAGAAACAGACGTTGTTACAGCAAGTGGCCACGCTCTGCAACCTGACGCCCGACGATATCGAGAATGTATATCCCTCCACACCATTACAGGAAGGCCTGATGGCCATCACCTCCCGAACCCCGGCCGCGTACGTCGACCGTCGCGGCTTCACCCTGCCCCCGACCGTCGACATTGCCCGGTTCCGAGCAGCGTGGGAAGCCCTCGCGGCGAGAACGGCCATTCTGCGCACACGAATCATCATCGACCCGTCCAGCGGACGATCGCTGCAAGTGGTGACGCGCGACACGGTTGTCTGGCGCGAGGCAAAAACACTAAATGAATACCTGGAGCACGACCGTCAGGAGAACATCACCCTCGGCCAGCCCTTGAACCGGTGCGGCTTGATCCAGGACGGACCTGCGTTTGTGTGGACGGTGCACCACAGCATCTACGACGGGTGGAGCGCCCTCCAGCTCTACCGGCAGTTGGCTGCACTCTACAACTCCGAGCAGCTATCCCCGCCCGTCCCTTACACTCGATTTGTGCGCTACCTGCAACAGCAGAGTCCCGACCGCGCTGCGCACTACTGGCGAGACCAGCTCCACGGCGAGGATGTCATGGCGGAGTGGCCGGCTCTCCCCAGCGCAACGTACCAACCCAGACCGCGTGCGCAGTACCAGGCCAAGATCCCGCTCCCTGATGGATCCTCGGGGCTGGTGATGATGTCGGCCGTGCTCCGCGGAGCATGGGCCCTAGTGATGGCGCAGTACAGCGGGTACAGCGATGTGATATTCGGCGTGACGCTCTCCGGCCGAAACGCCCCTGTTCCAAAAGTCGCAGATATCACGGCTCCCCTGATCACGACAGTCCCAGTACGGATCCGCGTGGACCAGACAGTAACGGTGTCCGAGTTCCTGGATCGGATTCAAACGCAAGCCACCGGGATGATAGACTACGAACACACGGGTCTCCAGCAGATCCGGACCCTTCTCCCTGAATCCGCGTCATCCCTGGACTTCCGCAACCTGCTGGTCATCCAGCCGGCCGGGGAGCGCGACGTCTACGAGGCCTTTCCTGGGCTCGCGCCAATTGATATCCCGATGGAGGATTTCGACAGCTACGCGCTGAACGTGGAGTGTACGCTCGGGCGTGAGTCCATTGACATGCAGGTGAACTATGATGAGGAGGTCATACCAACCGCTGCCCTTGAAAATGTCATGGATCAATACTCGACGCTCGTGCGGAAGATGTGCAGCTCTGATGGCCAGACCTCAATCAGCGGGATCCTGACCCTCCCGCCTCAAGACGCAGAGCAGATTAAGAGGTGGAACAGCGACGTTCCGTCTCCCGTACATCAATGCATCCATGATCTGGTGCAGGAGCAAGTGCGCTCCCGACCGACGGCGATAGCAGTGGACGCGTGGGACGGCCAGTTCACATACGCGGAACTAGCCAGCCAGAGTCTGCGTCTGGCGCAGCACCTGACGACCAGCTATGGGGTCGGACCCGAACAGACGATCGGGCTGTGCATGGATAAGTCGCGGTGGGCGGTGGTGGCGATGCTGGCGATTCTCTACGCTGGCGGAGCGGTGCTTCCACTCTCAGGAAGCCATCCACTCCAGCGGCTGCAGGGAATTATCGAGGATGCGCAAGCGAAAGTCATTCTTGCCGACGCATCGCAGGCAGCCCGGCTGGCGGGGCTGAACCGGCCGTTGGTCATCGTGGACTCGAGCGCCGTGGAAAGTCTCCCGCCTGCACCGGCGCAGGATATCCACAGCGCAGTGACACCGGGCAATATGGCCTGGGTGATTTATACGTCGGGCAGTACGGGCACGCCGAAAGGCGTTGTATTGGAGCATCGATCGCTCTGCACGAGTCTCACGGCGCATGCAAAGGCTATAGGGATCACGGAGGATACGCGGACGCTGCAATTCGCGGCATACACGTTTGACGTCAGCGTGATGGATACCTTCAGCACGCTCCAGGCCGGCGGCTGCGTGTGTGTGCCTTCGGAGGAGCAGCGGCTGAATGGCCTCGGGGAAGCGGCTGCCCGGTTGGGGGTCAACTACGCGGAGCTCACCTCGACAGTCACGGAGATGCTGTCGCCGTCGCAGGTCCCATCATTAACCACACTACTCCTCAGCGGCGAGCCCCTGAAGCCCTCTGTCCTCGCTGCCTGGGCTCAGCACGCACGGGTGTTCAACTCGTACGGGCCGACCGAATGCTCCATCACAGCCTCGAACAGTCGGCAGCTCTTCCACCACGACGAAGCGCGCAATATCGGCGCGCCTATGGAATCGCTCTTTTGGGTGGTGCAGGCAGACAACCACCACGCCTTATGTCCGATCGGGACACCGGGGGAGCTGCTGATCGAGGGCCCGCTGCTTGCGCGCGGCTATCTGAACGACGAAATCACCACGAACGAGAGCTTCATTAGCCCTAGGTTCTCGGAACAACTTGGCCTCGACCTCGCTGGGCGCCGGATGTATCGGACGGGCGATCTGGTCCGGCAGAATGCGGACGGCTCGCTGCTGTATCTGGGCCGATGCGGAGGCCAGCAGGTTAAGATCCGCGGGCAGCGGGTTGATGTTGGCGAGGTCGAGCATCAGATCACGCAGCGCCTACCGGGTGTCAAGACGGTAGCGGTCGAGCTGGTCGGGCAAGGAAGCCAGCTCAGTTTGATGGCCGTCATTGACTTTGCAGGCGAGAGACCAGCCTTGGAAGCCCTGCGCGAGGAGCTCCTGCAGGCCCTGCCGCAGTACATGGTGCCGACCCTGTACATGCCCACCGACCAGATGCCCATCAATGCCTCGGGGAAACTAGATCGACGAGGCCTACGCGCCAAACTACAAGCTCTCACTGCTGCCGAGCTGCAGGAGTATGCGCTGAATGCCGGGCCCAAAAGCGCGCCCTCCAGCGCGATCGAGCACAAGTTGCATGCGCTCTGGGCCGAAACGCTCAAGGTCAATCCTGCGAGCATCGGCAGGGAAGACAGCTTCGTGCTCCTTGGAGGCGATTCGATCGCCGCGATGCGCATGGTTTCGACGCCGGCTGCTCAGGAACTGCATCTGAGCGTGGCGGATGTCTTCCAGCATGCGCGATTGTCAGATCTCGCCCGTGTGCTCGAGGGACGCACTGACGAAACCGTCCAAGAGGACCCAGCGCCCTTTGCCCTTTGGGATATCAAGAATGAACAGGCGCAGCGGGTCGCCAACTTGGCCGCACTGTGCGGTGTCGCTGCGGACAAAGTTGAAGACGTATTCCCTTGCACGGCGATGCAGGAGGGCCTCATGGCTCTCACCACGCATCAGCCCACAGCCTATGTCGGCCGGCAGGTCTTCAAGCTCGCGGCCTCGATCGATACCACGCGCTTCCAAGAAGCATGGAAAACGCTCGTCCACCACACCCCGATCCTCCGCACGCGCCTCGCGGTCGACCAGGCCTCCGGATCTGGCTCCCAGACCGGGGCATTGGTTCAGATTGTTGTCGGGCAAGAACTGGCTTGGAAGCACAGCACAGACCTGGACAAATATCTGGCCTACGATGAGGCAGAGGGAATGGCACTGGGCCAGCCGCTGGTGCGCTTAGCCCTGGTGCAGCAGAAGGAAGAGCGGTTCTTCGTCTTCACCGGCCACCACAGTGTGTACGACGGGTGGAGTGCAGCTTTGATATTCGAGCGCCTGGCGGAGATCTATACCCACAACCGCATCCCGTCCCCTGTGCCGTACTCGCGATTCATTCGGCATCTCTTGCACCAAGACCCCGCGTCTTCGGCGAGCTACTGGTCCGCCCAGCTGGAAGGCGAGGCAGTCGTCGACTGGCCACCACTTCCCCGAGCAGATTACCAGCCGAAGCCTATGCACCGGGAAACACACGAAATTGCACTCCCTAATGCGGATGTCTCCCCGCGTGGCCTATCCGAGCTCCCGCACGTCCTACGCGCGGCATGGGCACTGGCCATGGCCACATACGCCGGCGGGCAGAGCAACAGCGTGGTGTTTGGCGCGACAGTTTCCGGCAGAAACGCACCTGTCCGCGGAATCTCAGACATGGTTGGGCCGACCATTACAACCGTGCCTGTGGCTGTGCATCTCGATGCCCAGCAGCCCGTCCGCCAGTTCCTGGACGCAGTCCAGAAGCAGGCGGCGGATATGATTCCGTTCGAACAGACGGGGCTGCAGCTGATCCGGAAACTCGTCCCGGAGTCCTGCCATGCAGCGTTGGAGCTCAGGAACCTGTTCCTGGTTCAGCCGTTGCCTGATGCCGAGGAGAGCTTCCCTGGGTTGACGCCCTTGCCTGTCACGCTGCAGGGATTCGATACGTACGGGCTTACGGTTCAATGCGCGCTTGGGGCCGACGCGGTGACGGTGGAAATGCGCTATGATGAGAATGTGATTGCGAGTCCGCGGGTGAAGAGGATCCTCATGTGCTTTGATCATGTTGTACAGCAGCTATGCAGCAGACGGAATGATGCGGTTCCGCTGGGAGACCTTTCCCTCCTGAGCGCGGATGACTCTGCAACAATTGTGCGGTGGAATCAGACTGCGCCTGAACGCGTTGAACAGTGTATACACCACCTGGTCCAGGAGCAAGTCACAGCACATCCAGACTCCGTGGCCATCTGTGCCTGGGATGGTGATTTGACGTATGCCGAGCTCAACACGCAGGCGACACATCTAAGCCAGTATCTTCGAGGCATGAATGTCGGCGCAGAGCGCATGGTTGGCGTTTGCATGGACAAATCCAAGCTGGCCGGCGTGGCGATGCTGGCCATCCTGCAGGCAGGAGGTGTCGTCGTCCCGCTGGGTGTCAACCACCCCCGAACCCGAATCGAGGGCATTGTGGAAGACACGAACATCGAAATCATACTGGTGGACGAACAACAACGGGACCGCCTGTCGACCATCCCCAATGTGCAGCTGGTGGTGGTGGAGAAGAGTTTGTTTGATACTCCAACCCCTCAACCGATTGAGCCTGAGCCATCACTGGCCACACCAGACAACGCCGCCTGGGTCATCTACACGTCCGGAAGCACAGGCAAGCCAAAGGGCGTTGTTCTGCAGCACCGAGCCCTGTGCAGCAGTATCCGCGCCCACGGGACACGGTTCAAGATGGGCGCTCACACACGCATGCTCCAGTTCGCCGCGCATACCTTCGACGCCTGCATCCAAGACTACTTCACGACACTCGCATTCGGCGGCGTCGTCTGCGTCCCCAGCGAGCACGAACGCATGAGCGATCTCAGCACAGCCGTCCGCAAGCTCAGCGTCACCTTTGCGACCCTCACCTCGACCGTAGCCCGGCTGATCGATCCCGCCGATGTCCCCGCCATGCAACAGCTCGCCCTCGTCGGCGAACCCGTCAAGCCCGACGTCGTCCAGCGCTGGCTCGGCCACGCCACCGTGCTCAACGCCTACGGGCCCTCCGAGTGCTCCATCCACTCCACCTGCAGCACGCCCCTGACCGACCCCAAGCAGGCCGCCATCATCGGCACCGGAATGGGCTCGCGTGTCTGGGTGGCCGAGGTGCGGGACTACAACCGGCTCTGTCCGATCGGCGTGCCGGGCGAACTGCTCATTGAGGGACCGATTCTGGCAAGGGAGTACCTCAACGACACCCTGAAGACCCAGAGCGCGTTCATCGCCAACCCGGCATTCCTCACCGCGCTTGGGACCCCGTGCAGCTCGACTAACGGCCGCATGTATCGGACCGGCGACCTCGTCCGACTCGACGAGGACGGATCCCTCACGCACCTCGGCCGACGCGATACGCAGATCAAGATCCGCGGACAGCGCGTCGAGGTCGGCGAGATCGAGTACCAGATCACGCAGCAGCTCCCGGACGTGCGGTCGGCGGCCGTCGAGCTCCTCGAGGACGCGGGCAAGGTCGGTCTCACGGCGGCACTGGATTTCGCTCTGGATAGCGAGCTGCGCTGTGGCCCGGCCTCTGAGCTGGGCGTTCTCCTCCCTTCACCTGCTTTGACGACCGGACTACAGCGCCTGCGGGGATCGCTGTTCCAGGTCCTGCCGGCCTATATGGTGCCCAGTGCATTCCTGCCCATCGTGGATATGCCGCTCAACGCGTCAGGGAAGCTCGACCGGCGAGCGGTGCGGGCTCTGCTGGAGGAGGTCCCCTCTGATGAGCAGCGGGTGTACCTGGCTGTGTCTGCGACTGAGACTGCCGCCCCCTCTACACCGACAGAGAGTCAACTGCAGGCGCTGTGGGCGGATGTGTTGCAGGTTCCAGTCGCCCAAGTGAGCGTTCACGATAACTTCTTCCAGATCGGGGGCGACTCGGTTGTTGCGATGCGGATGGTGGCGACGGAGTCGGCTCGGGCGTTGAAGCTGACTGTGGCAGATATCTTCCAGAGTCCGCGTCTGGCTGACTTGGCTGACCTTCTTAGTTCACGGCTTTCAACCGAGGAGAGGAGTATGGCGGATCATGATCCAGAACCCTTTTCGCTGTGGGACGCCCGTCAAGACTTGCGGCATCGAGAGGAACACCTTCAGCAAATTGCTCAGGACTGCGGTGTTCCAGTGACTAGTATCCAGGATGTGTATCCGTGTACTCCGCTGCAAGAAGCAATGATGGCCATCACCTCCCGCCAGTCCGCCGCGTACATCAACCGCCAGGTATTCGAGCTCGACGGCAGCATCGACGTGGACAGGCTGCAGCGTGCCTGGCGCAAACTCACCCAGGCAGTCCCAACCCTGCGAACCCGCATTTCCATGAGCCCTGGCAACGCCTCGATGTTAGTGCAAGTGGTTGTTGATGAGGAGATTGAATGGCGAACGTCCGACAGCTTGGAGGGCTACCTCGACCAGGACCAGGAGCAGGGCATGGGACTGGGAACGCCTTTGGTACGTATGGGACTCGTCGACAAGAAGTCCCTGGTATGGACAGCCCATCACAGTCTTTACGATGGCTGGAGCACCCGTTTACTCTATCAACATCTGGCCGATCTCTACCACACCGGCCAGACGCTGCACGCCCCTGCCTCCTTTCCACGATTCATCCGCTTCCTCGCCGAACAGGACAATGCAGAGGTCCACGCTGAGAGTGCGACCTACTGGTCCAACGAGCTGCAGGGCGAGGTGATGAGCAACTGGCCGCCTCTTCCATCCGTCGACTACCAACCGCAGCCGGGACGCGAAATCATCAACGTCGTGCCGCTCCCTGCCAGCGGCCCTACCCAGGTGATTACGCCTGCAAACGTGGTCCGCGCCGCGTGGGCAATTACAATGGCACAATACGCAGGACACGACGATGTCGTCTTCGCAGCAACTGTCTCTGGCCGCAATGCTCCCGTCTGGCAAGTCGGCAACATCGTCGCCCCAACAATCACCACTGTCCCTGTGCGGACTCACATCGACTGGACGGACAAAACCAGCAGCTTCCTGGCCACCATCCAAAAGCAGGCCGCGGATATGATCCCCTACGAGCACACCGGCCTCCGCACGATCAGGGCCATCATCCCTCCGCATCTCAGCCCGGCGCTCAACCTCCGGAACGTACTGGTCGTGCAAACAGCAGGCGAAGGAGAGACCGCCGATGCTCCGTTCCCAGGCGTCAAGCCGCTCTCGCCAACCACGGCGGTGGCCTTCGACAGCCATGGCCTGACGGTCGACTGCACCGTGAGCACCACGGATCTGCGCGTGGCCTTCCGCTTCGACGAGGCCGTCCTCCCAACGGCGCAGGCGGAACATATCCTGTCGCACTTCACACACGTCGTCCAGCGGCTGTGTGATCCGCAGCTCGAGGGGCGCACATTGGGCGACATGGACCTGGTGAGTCCTGGACATCGAGCCCGTCTCGTCGAGCGCAATGCCGCGGTTGATGTCTCCCGCTGGGACGCATGTATCCATCACCTCGTGGGGAAGCAGGTCCTGGCTCAACCGAACGCGCCGGCTGTGTGTGCGTGGGATGGCGACCTGAGCTACGGAGAACTGGACAGCTATGCCTCTCGCCTGGCACATCAGCTTGTTCGCCTTGGGGTCGGCCCTGAGAAGAACGTGGGCCTGTGCCTGGATAAGTCGCGGTGGGCGGTGGTGGCCATATTCGCGACTCTGCAGGCAGGAGGTGCCGTTGTGCCGCTGGGCATCTCACACCCTCTTTCGCGCATCGAGGTCATGGTCGAGGACAGTGCGGCCGTTGTTATTCTTGTGGATGAGCAGCAGCACCATCGACTGGCGGATCTTTCCAGCAACATTCCCCGAGTGATCGTGAATGCTCAAAGCCTTGAGAAACTGCCCCAGAGCGCTCCTTTGCCAGACGTTTCACCGGACAATGTAGCGTGGATCAACTACACATCAGGGAGTACCGGTGCACCCAAGGGCATGATCTTGGAACACGGCGGGCTATGCACAAGCATGAGGACCCAAGCTGCCCGGATGCATATTTCCAACAAGACGCGCGCTCTGCAGTTCTCGCCCTTTACGTTCGACGTCAGCATCTCCGATATCTCAGCAACCCTGATCTACGGCGGCTGCGTGTGCCTCCCATCCGAGAGCGACCGCATGAACAACATAGCAGGCAGCATCCAAGCCATGGCCGTCAACTTCGCCAGTCTAACCCCGACCGTGGCGCGGCTCCTATCTCCAGCGGAGGTCCCAACGCTTACGACCCTCGCGCTCACCGGCGAAGCGCTAAAGCCCGACGTCGTGGCTCTCTGGAAGAGCGTGCCCGGCGTGGCGCTCTACAACACGTATGGTCCCTCCGAGGGCTCCGTGTGCACATGCAACGGCCCAATCTCGCGCCCCGACGAAGCAGACAACATTGGCACCCCCATGGCAACCCGGCATTGGGTCACGCAGCCTCACAACTACCACCAGCTCAGCCCGATCGGTGCGCCCGGAGAGCTTCTGATCGAGGGACCCCTGATCGCGCGGGGATACCTCAACAACGCAGAGAAAACAGCCGCGTCGTTTGTTCCGCCGCCCGCGTTTCTGACTGCGCCGTCTGGCTGCCGCATCTATCGGACAGGCGATCTAGTCCGCCAGAACGTTGACGGGTCGTTTACCTATCTCAGTCGACGAGACACGCAGGTGAAGATCCGCGGCCAGCGCGTCGAGATCGGCGAGATCGAGCACCAGATTGTGAAGCATATGCCAAGTGCGCAGACGGCCGTCGTGCATTTGCTCGAAGAAACCGGCCTTGTTGCCGTCATTGCGCTGCGTGAAGCGGAAACATTGCAGGCAGAGCCGGCCGGGACCATCGCGCCCTCGCCAGCCTTGTGCTCCGAGTTTGCCAGCCTGCGCCAGGCGCTGCTTCGCGTCTTGCCTGATTATATGGCGCCGACCTTGTTTGTCCCAGTTCCGGGCATCCCCACGAATGTCTCTGGCAAGGTGGATCGCCGCGCAGTGCACGAGCTCCTGCTGTCGCTCCCTCCAAACAGTCTGGGCCGATGGACCGCCGAGCAGGAGACCGTGCCAAAGACACTCCAACCAGCATCCGAGATGGAACAACTGCTCCAGGACCTCTGGGCGCGGATGCTCAAGATCCCCGTGGACAACGTGAGCCCTCAGGACGACTTCTTCCGCCTGGGAGGGGACTCTGTCACAGCAATGCGGATGGTTGCGACTGCGGCTCGCACCAGTAAGCACCTCAAGCTGGTCGTTACCGACATCTTCCAGCACTCTCGACTGTCAGAGCTTGCCGAGGTTCTTGAAGAGCGCGTGCGGGGAGGTCTCGAGCAGGAAGATATACAGAGTGTTGAGCCAGACCCCGAGCCATTCGCACTGTTCACGGACGCATCAGATCCCGCGTCTGGACTCCATGCCCGGCTTGCCACAGTGGCAGAGCAGTGCGGCGTTGCGGTCGAGCAGGTGCAGGATGTCTACCCCTGCACACCTCTCCAGGAAGCCCTTCTGGCCAACACTTCGCGCCAACAAGCAGCCTACGTCAGTCGGCAGAGCTACGTCCTCTCCCAGGCTATCGATCTTGCCCGCTTCAAGGCAGCATGGGAGGCCCTGGCGACCGTCACTCCCATCCTCCGCACGCGGATCGTGATTGGCGCGCAGGGAAGCTGGCAGGTTGTTGTGAAGGGGCCGATTGAGTGGGTATCCCACGCTGGGTCGTTGGAGGAGTATATCCAGCAGGACAAGGAGCGTGGCATGGGGTTAGGGCAGCCGCTGGCACGGTACGCCATCGTGACACAGCCATCGGGCGAACGGTTGTTCGTATGGACGGCCCACCACAGCATGTACGATGGCTGGACGGTCCGTCTGCTGTGCCAGGAGCTCATCGCCCTCTACAACCGCGAGGACCATGTGCCGCGACCTGTTCCCTACACCCGCTTCATCCGCTACCTGGAGGACATCGACCGGGCTGGCAGCCTTGAGTTCTGGAAGCAGCAGCTTCAGGGCGACGACGTCGAAGCAGACTGGCCGCGTCTGCCGCATGTGGGCTACGAGCCACGGCCCCGGTCGTCTCTGCATGTGAATATCCCCAACCATGATACCGATGGGAGCGGGATTGCGATGGCCAATATCCTTCGTGCAGCATGGGGGCTGGCGATGGCGCAGTTCTCCGGCCACAACGACGTCGTCTATGCAGCCAACATCTCCGGTCGCGCAGCGCCCGTGCCAGGCGTGACGGAGATCATCGGCCCAACCATCGCCACCGTCCCCGTCCGGCTGCATCTTGACCCCCAAGCCCGCATGACCGTGGCGAGCTTCCTGCAGGGCGTGCAGACGCAGTCGCAGCAGATGATCGACCACGAGCAGACGGGCTTACTGGCCATGCGCAACCATCCCAACCTCCAGCTGCGCAACCTGCTGGTCATCCAACCCGCCGAGGAAAGCGACACAGTCCTTGACTTCCCCGGCATCGAGGCCGTCCCGAGCGCGGTCGAGGACTTCGACAGCTACGGCGTGAACATCGAGTGTGTGCTGGGAACGACGATTCGGGTCCAGGCGCGCTTTGATGACCAGATCGTGACTGCGGCCTACATGCAGCGCGTTCTCGACCAGTTTGCGTATATTGTGCGCCGGCTTCGCGACCCGAGATGCAGGGATCTGCCATTGCAGCAGCTCAACCTCCTCAGTCCTCATGACCAGCAGCAGATTGCGACCTGGAATGCCGCGCCTCCTGAGCCTGTCGAGCGTTGTGTGCATGAGATGGTTGAGGAGCAGGCTATGGCACACCCAACCAAGCTCGCGGTGTGCGCATGGGACGGACAGTTCACCTACACGGAGTTGGCGCATCTGGCTCAGCTCCTGGCCGCTCAACTTGTCGCCCTTGGTACCGGCCCAGAGCGCATGGTTGCGGTGTGCATGGACAAGTCGCGGTGGGCAGCCGTGGCCTTTCTGGCAATCCTCAAGGCCGGCGGCGTGGTTGTCCCCCTAGGCGTCAGCCATCCGATCCGACGCATCGAGACGATCCTCAACGACAACAAGTCTGATCTGGTTCTTGTTGATGCAAAGCACCGCCAGCGCCTCGGTGATGGTCTCCTCCGACAGCAGTTGCTCGTGGTGGACGATAGTCTGGAGCAGGACGGTTCTTCTTCTTTACATCTTCCGACCGGCCAGCTAGCAAAGCCAGTCACCCCAGACCATGCAGCGTGGGTGATCTACACTTCCGGAACAACGGGCCTCCCTAAAGGTGCAGTCCTCGAGCATCGAGCCTTGAGCTCCAGCATCCGCGCCCACGGCACCCGCTACCAGTTCGGCCCTTACACCAGGAAGCTGCAGTACTCGGCGCATACGTTTGACGGGACGATCGAGGACTACTTCACCACTCTGTCCTGGGGCGGCCTCTGCTGCGTGCCGTCAGAAGAAGACCGTCTCGACACGCGCAGGCTCACGGCGTTCATGCGAGAGACGGAGGTGAATGCCCTGGCAACAACGTACACCGTCGCGGGCCTTCTCACGCCAGACGAGGTTCCCAGCCTGCGAACACTCGTGCTGGGCGGAGAACCAGCGACCGTTGAGGTGACGGATACCTGGAAAAGCAAGGTCGATCTCTTCAACTGCTACGGCCCCTCGGAGTGCACGATCTTCTCATCCGCCGCAGGCCCGAGGAAGGATGTGGCAGAGCTGCACAACATCGGCCAGCCGATTGGGACACGACTTTGGGTTGTCAATCCTGACCATCCCGGCTCGTTGTGTCCAGTTGGGGCTCCTGGAGAGTTGCTCATTGAAGGGCCCCAGCTTGCGCGTGGGTATCTGAACGACGAGGCCAAAACGATCACGGCCTTCCTCACGGATCTGGACTTTATGCGGCGATTCGACATCCCGCTCAGCACGCGACTCTACCGCAGCGGGGACATTGTGCGCCAGAACGATGACGGGTCGTTTGTCTATGTCGCCCGGCGCAACACCACGCAGGTGAAGATCCGAGGGCAGCGGGTGGAGGTTGGCGAAATCGAACACCAGATTGGCCTGCATCTGGCTGAGACCAGGGCAGTGGCTGTTGAGTTGTTCAAGCAGGGTGCCCACGGGCTTCCGGTCCTTGTTGCTGTGGTCGACTTTGCCGAGAACAGTCAATATCGCAGCCAGCCCCCGGCATCGAACGAGGAATTCCTACCCCCTACCCCGGCACTGCGACAGACCTTCACAAAGCTCCAGGTCGCGTTGTCGCAAGTCCTCCCCAGCCATATGGTCCCGTCGCTCTATGTGCCTGTCACGCAGCTGCCTCGAAACCTGTCCGGGAAGTTGGACCGCAGAGCCCTCCGAGGACTGCTGGACCAGATGTCCTACGAGGCCATTCGCCAATACCTGCAGCACGATGGAGAGAAGACCGCGCCTTCCACGACCATGGAACGCACGCTGCAAGCCCTGTGGGCTCAGACCTTGGGAATGGACGAGATCGGCCGGATTGGGGCCCACGACAACTTCTTCCAGCTGGGCGGAGACTCTGTAGCGGCCATGCGTCTTGCGGCGATCGTGCAGCAGCAGGAACAGCTGCAGTTGACCGTCGGCGATATCCTGTCGCATCCTTGCCTGTCTGATTTGGCCAACTTCTTGACCGGAGGCGCCGTTGCAGGTCCCCTCGAAACTGACCCAGAGCCATTCTCGCTGTGGAGTGCTGTCGACAAGGATCTCCCAACTGTTGCTGCAAGATGTGGTGTTGCAGCGGAGCAGATCGAGGATATATACCCTGCCACCCCATTGCAGGAAGGGTTCATTGCCGTCACCGCACGCCAGTCAGCGGCCTATATCAGTCGCCAGGTTTACACACTGTCTGCTGCCCTGGACCTCGATCGATTCAAGGCGTCCTGGGAGACGCTGGTCAAGACCACCCCGATCCTACGCACCCGCCTCTCGATCGGACAGGATGGCCATGCGATCCAGGTCGTTGTCCGCGACTCGATTAAGTGGAGATGCGGCACAGACCTCGCCTCCTATGTGGCTCAAGACCACGACGAGGGGATGAGACTCAATGAGCCCCTGGTGCGATACGCGATCATCGCTGAGCCGACATCAGACAGCTGCTACTTTATCTGGACAGCCCACCACAGTATCTACGATGCCTGGACGATCCGCGCCATCAGCACGTCCCTTGCACAAATATATTCATCCGCCGACTACACACCCACCGTCCCATTCTCTCGATTCATCCGGTACCTCACCAACACCGACACCGACGCCGCCAGGGCCTTCTGGCAGGACCAGTTGGCCGGAGACGTTGTGGCAGACTGGCCGCCCCTACCGCAGAACGACTACCAGCCCCGGCCACACGGTCGGATCCAGAAGACCATCACGATCCCCGGACGCTCCTCGGGCATTCTGGAATCCACCACACTCAGGGGCGCCTGGGCGCTTGTGATGTCGCAGTACGCCGGCTCGAGCGACGTTGCCTTTGCCGCCACCGTGTCAGGACGCAATGCTGCAGTGGCCCAGATCAACGAGATCGCAGGGCCGACCCTCACCACCGTCCCAGTCAGGGTGTCTGTGGACAGCAGCCTGACCGTCACGCAGTTCCTGCAGGCTGTTCAGAACCAGATGACCGACATGATCCCGTACGAACAGACCGGCCTCCAGACAATCAAAGCCTGCATCCCAGAGGCCAACCATGACGCTTTGAAGCTCCGCAATCTCCTGGTCATCCAGCTGGCCGCCGAGGCTGAAAGCAGCACGATCGCGCTGCCGGGCTTGGAGGCGCAGCCCGCGTCCTTCGAGGACTTTGGCAGCTTCGGCCTGCAGATCGAGTGCACCCCGGTGACTACAGGAGGATCGCACGCAGTCGAGGTCGATATCCAGTATGACGAGAAGGTCATCTCGACCACCGCTGCCACCAGAGTCGCGGAGCATTTTGCCCACGTCGCAGAGCAGCTTTTCCATCCTGGTCTGGCCGAGTCCGCGTTGTCGGAGATCCAGCTCCAGCTCAGTCCTGCACACAAGGAGATCATCTTGCGCCGGAATACCAGCGTCCCGCCCGCCCTCGACCGCTGCATCCATGAGATGGTCTTTGAGCGTGCGGCATTGCAGCCCCACGCTCCGGCCATCTGTGCATGGGACGGGGACTGGACGTATGCGGAGGTCACTGGGCTTGCTGCTTCGCTTGCCTCCTACCTCGTCACAGAACTGCAGATCGGCCCGTCGCAGATGGTGGGTGTTTGTATGGACAAGTCCAAATGGGCGGTGGTTGCTATGCTGGCTGTGCTTTGTGCCGGTGGCACGGTGGTCCCGTTAGGGGTCAACCATCCCGTCTCTCGGATTGAAGGCATGGCTCGGGATACGGGGCTGCGAGCCATTCTTGTGGACGATAAGCAGCGAGAGAGGCTGTGCGGTCTTGGGTACCGCTTGATCACGGTCGACGCGCACATTCAAGGGCTTCGGGTTTCGGGCAGGCCAAAGACAGGAGTTACGCCGGATGATACTGCGTGGGTGATTTATACCTCGGGCAGTACTGGGACTCCCAAAGGAGTCCTGCTCCAGCATCGTGCTCTAGCTACAAGTATCGAGGCCCATGGATCTGTATTTGGGCTTGGGACGCACACGCGGGCCTTGCAGTTCGCGGCACATACATTCGACGTCAACATCCAGGACATGTTCACCACGCTCTACAAAGGGGGCTGCGTCTGCATCCCATCCGAACACGACCGCGTCAACCGGCTGGCCCAGTCGATGGCGTCCATGAATGTCAACTGTGCCACATTGACATCAACCGTCGCGTCTCTCCTCGCGCCTGAGGAGTTGCCCTGCCTGCAGACCCTCATTCTAGTCGGCGAGCCAGTGACTCCAGCTGTCGTGAAGCTATGGCAACCGCATGCCACCGTGCTCAACGCATATGGCCCGTCTGAATGTTCCATCCATTCCTCCTGCAGCGACCCAATCACGGATCCTGCGCTTGCCCCCAATATCGGCCGACCACTCGCCGCCTGCTTCTGGGTCGTGGACCCGGACAACTACCACTCTCTGCGCCCAATTGGGGCAACGGGTGAACTCCTGATTGAAGGTCCCGTCCAAGCACGGGGATACCTCAATGATGCGGACAAGACCAGCGCGGCATTCGTCGTTGACCCCGAGTTCATGACACAGCTAGGGCTTTCCGGACGCCAGCGCCGGCTGTACCGGACTGGCGATCTCGTGCGGCAGAACGACAATGGGACCCTCACGCACATGGGACGCCGGGATCTGCAGGTCAAGATCCGCGGACAGCGCGTCGAGGTCGGGGAGGTCGAATACCAGATCCAACGACATCTGCCCTCCGCTCGAACAGTCGCCGTTGAGCCGCTGCAGCACGGAGACAAGGACCAGCACATCACGCTCATTGCCATCATGGATATGAGCCACACCGCAGCAACTCGTGAGCTGAACGCCACAGAGCCGGAGCCCTTGCCAGTCACTGCTTCTCTCCAGGCCACATTCCGCGACCTCCGCACCTCGCTCCTCCATGATCTGCCGGCTTACATGGTCCCGGCAGCGTACCTACCAGTGGACCGCATGCCGCTGAATGCATCGAACAAGCTGGATCGCCGTGCGATTCGAGAACTGATCACGCACCACTCTCTGGAAGACCTGCAGCGATATCTTGGGGCCACGGAACATAGCGTCAAGACCGCGCCCAGGACAGCCATGGAGCAGCGAGTGCACGCTCTGTGGGCCGAGGTCTTTGGGCTCTCCAAGGACGCGGTCGGCGTCCACGACAACTTCCTCCAGCTGGGCGGGGACTCGTTGACCGCAATGAGGATTGTTGCCGCGGCTGGCCAGACGACAGAAGTCCGAGTGTCCGTGGAGGATATATTCACGCATCCAACTGTGGCGGACCTCGCATTGGTACTGTCTGAACGCGAAGACAGCACGGTCGAGCAGGAACAAGACCCGGCACCGTATCAACTGTGGGCCGAGCAGAACACCCTCGCCGCCGATCAAATCGAAGAGCATCTGGATACCATTGCCGTACAATGCGCAGTTGACCGAGCTCTCATTCAAGACGTCTACCCGTGTACCCCCCTGCAGGCGGGTCTGATAGCCATCACGGCCAGACAGCCGGCGGCGTACGTGAGCCGGCAGGTATACACCCTGAGCAGCAGTGTAGACCGCGCGTCCTTCCAGCAGGCATGGCAAGAACTCGCTGCTGGAGCCGCGATCCTACGCACTCGCATTGTAATGGCGCCAGATTCAGCCTCCCAAGCCCTGCAGGTTGTCGTGGACGATGCCATCCACTGGGAGCTCGGCACAGATCTGGACGAGTATATAAGCAGAGACACTGCACGCGGAATGTCGCTAGGCGAGCCCCTCGTCCGATACGGTCTTGTGCGGGAACCGTGCGGCAAGTGCTATTTCATCTGGACCGCGCACCATGCGCTCTATGACGGATGGACCCTTGGAGCCCTTAGCAAACGCCTGGGCGACATCTACCAGAACCGCGCCATTGCAGCTCAAAATGTGCCGTACTCTCGATTCATCCGCTATCTGCAGCAACGGCGCTTGAGCTCGGAAGCAAGTGCTCGCTACTGGCGCGAGCAACTCCAGGGCGATGCCATGGCCAGTTGGCCACGTCGGCCTGCACTGGATTACCAGCCCATGCCCCGGCATAACCTGCTACGTAATGTGCCGTTAGCATCTCAGACCGTAGCAACCCCGTCGACGATCCTCCGGGCTGCGTGGGCGCTCGTCATGGCGCAGTACGCAGGGCACAAAGATGTCGTCTTTGCAGCAACGGTTTCTGGCCGCAGCGCACCAGTGCCGGGGATTGCAGACATCCCAGCGCCGACAATCACCACGGTGCCGGTGCGAGTTCATGTTGACGCAACCCAATCCGTGGCCGACTACCTGCAGGCCGTGCAGCGCCAGGCAATTGACATGATCCCCTACGAGCACACAGGCCTCCAAGCTATTAAAGCCCTTGTGCCCGATCTCGCGTCCACCCTGGACGCCGGCAGCTTGATGGTCATTCAACCAGCGGACCAGAGCGCGATGGAGTCGGGCCTTGACTTTCCCGGCCTCGACACAGTGCCTATGCCCATCACGCCGTTCAACAGCCACGGCGTAACGCTCGAATGCAAGCTCGGGGCGCAAGATGTCACGCTGGACATCCACTACGACAGCACCATTATCGCCCCGGAACAGCTCACGCGCGTGATCGACTACTTTGCCTCCATGATCCAGCGTCTGGGCGATCCGGCCGCCACAGCATCGCCAGTGGCTGATCTCCTGGCCGTCAGCGAGAAAGACGAGTCCCAGGTTCGCGCGTGGAACTCGACCGTTCCACCGCGCCTCGACAAGTGCATCCACGAGCTGGTGCAGGAACAGGTGCTCCGGACGCCTCGTGCAGTTGCCATCCACGCCTGGGACGGCCAGCTCACGTACCGCGAGTTCCACGATCTCGCTGCCAGCCTCGCGCACCATCTGGTTACTCTGGGAGTTGGCCCCGAGACGCTCGTTGGTGTCTGCATGGACAAGTCGAAATGGGGTGCTGTGGCGATGCTGGCTATCATGCAGGCTGGGGGCGCGATCATGCCCCTTGGAGTGTCCCAGCCCCTGGGGCGTATCCGAACCATCGTGGAGACGTCGCAGGCAGCGTTGATTCTAGTCGACGAGCAGCAGATGGATCGATTGGATCAACTCGCCAAACTCATTCCTGTTGGTGAAGGTCTACTGACGGACATCCCATCGTACACTCAAGCACCGGCCACTGGGGTCACGCCAGACAACGCCTCGTGGGCCATCTTCACCTCGGGCAGCACTGGAACCCCCAAGGGTGTTATTATCGAGCATGGGACTATGGCAACCAGTCTTGACGAGCAAGGCCGCTGGCTTGGACTCAGCCAAGAGACACGATTCCTGCAGTTTGCCTCGTACACGTTCGACAATGTGATCACCGACACGTTCGCCACGACCAGCTTTGGCGGATGCGTCTGCATCCCCTCAGAGAGCGACAGGATGGACCGACTGGAGGAGGTCATGGTGGAGATGAAGGTCAACACGGCCATGCTGACATCCACCGTGGCCCAGCAGCTCTCCCCTGCCCAACTCCCGCTGATGCAGAAGCTCATCTTGACCGGTGAGCCCGTCCGCGCCGACGTCGTCCAGCCCTGGCTGGGTCACGCCGAGGTCTACAACGCGTACGGACCGACCGAAGGCTCAATGAGCACCTGCACCCGACCGTACAGGGCTGCCTCCGAGGCCAGCAATATCGGACACCCCCTCGCCACGCGGCTGTGGGTTGTGCAGCCCGACAATCCCCATCTCCTCGCTGCAATCGGCGCCCCCGGGGAGCTGTACATCGAAGGCCCCTTCCTGGCCCGCGGCTACCTCAACGACCCCGTCAAGACGGATGCGTCGTTCCTCGTCGACCCGCCCTTCACGCAGAGACTGGGGCTGACTGGGCGCCGCGTCTACCGCACCGGAGACCTGGTGCAGCAGAACGAAGACGGCACGCTGGTCCATCTGGGCCGCTGCGACTCCCAGGTCAAGATCCGCGGCCAGCGCGTGGAGATCAGCGAGATCGAGTACCAGATCACGCAGCACCTGCCTGAAGCCAGCACCGTGGCTGTCTTCATCGTCGACGACAACCCGGTCACCCTCGTTGCGGCGGTGGAATTTGGTACCGACAGTCCTCATCGTCTGGGCCCGCAGAGTCCGTTCAAGGGTTTACTCGCTCCGACAGAGGCACTGCGCCTCGCGTTCACCAAGCTCTACGGCGCCTTGTCCCAGGTCCTCCCTATCTACATGGCACCCAGTGTCTTCGTCCCCATGCACGAGATGAGCCGGAATCTATCAGGGAAGCTCGATCGACGCCTCCTGCAAACATTATTGAAAAGTCTTCCCACCGCAGAGCTCCGGCGGTATCGCCTGGGCGAGGGACCAAAGATTGCACCCTCGACGGCAATGGAGCGCCAGCTGCAAGCCATCTGGGCGAAAGCACTGGATCTGCCCGAAGAGCAGGTCGGCGCCCACGACAACTTCTTCCACATTGGCGGCGATTCCCTGGTGGCCATGCGCATTATTGCCCTCGCGCGTGCGCAGAAGCTCAAGCTGACCGTCGCCGATCTGTTCAAGTCCCCGTGTCTGTTTGAGCTGGCGCAGGTCGTCGCGGATCGCGTCGCAGCGAGCAGCATTACACTGGCGGAAGATGAGGAAGCGTCTGCGCCTTCGCCCTTCTCTTTGATTCCGGCGGAGGATGTCCAATTGATTGTCTCCCGCATGCCAGGGCGCAAAGCGCAGGATGTCGTCGACATCCTGCCGACAACAGATTTCCAAGCCTTGACGGTGGCGCAAGCCCTGGCCACGCCGGGGACGGCCAACTTTGCTCATTTCATCCTCGATGGTGATGGGGCATGCGATGTTGAGGTGCTGCGCAAGAGCTGCCTGCAACTGATCGAGGCCGTCCCGCCGCTGCGCACCGCGTACGTCCTCAGCCAGGGCGTGCTGCTACAGGCGGTGCTACAGATCCATGAGCCAGAGATCAAGATCCTCCAGGCCACCGATGCGACCGTGGAAGAGGTGACCAGCAATCTCATCAGCAAGCAGATGTTCCAGCCCCCGCAACTCGGGCACCCTTTCACGGCGATGGCCATCATCGAGGACCCTGCCAGCAGCCGCCATCGAGTCGTCCTCCGTCTCACACATGCAGAGTACGACGCCGTGTCTATGCAAAACGTTTGGCAACATCTCCGCGCTCTGTACGAGGGGGCGGCCTTAAAACCACGACCCAGCTTCGCCTCGTTCCTCTACAACCAGCGGGAGAAGATCACCACGCAGACGTACGACTACTGGCGCACACTGCTGGACCAGTCGAGCATGACGCCCTTGCGCAGCCAAACCTCAACACAAACCGATACCATCGGCCATTACCCGTCGACAGTGGCCCAGCTCCGTCCGGCTCGTGTCCACCTCAACAAATCCTCCGTCAACAATATCACAAACCCAATCCTCATCAAGACCGCCTGGGCCATGACCCTGAGCCGGCTGTCCGACCATCAAGACATCATCTTCGCAGACACGGTCTCCACACGCGGAACCGTCGACGACTCGCTCATGGACGCCGCAGGGTGCTGCGTGACTATCCTCCCCGTCCGCGTCAAGCTTTCGCCGGCAACCTCGATGCAGGAAGCCCTCCTGCACCTGCAAACGCAGCAGGCCGAAAGCCTCGAACACGCACAGCTCGGGTTCCGAGAGATCCTGCATGAGTGTACGGCCTGGCCGACCTCGACGCGGTTCACGTCTGCGATTAACTGTCTCTCCGAAAATGCCGGGGGCAAAGACGCATTCACGATGCGCGGTACAAACTACACGCTTTCCCAGTTCGCGGCAGACGATGCGACCTGGACTGTGGACCTAGGCGTCACTGCCGTCATGCGCGATACCGGCGATGTCGAGCTGCGGATGGCGTACCTACCCGCGCGGGTCGCCGAAGACGCGGCGTCCGAGTATCTCAACACCCTGCGCGATACACTGCAGGCTGTTCTTGACTCTCCGGGTCTTCTTGTCTCGGACGTCCTAGCGAGACCACTGGGCTCTCGCGGCGACAGGAAGGGGGCGTCTTCTCCCAAGATCGAGTCTATAGACCCCGAGCAAGAGGCAGAGGCAGAGCAAGAGACGGAGACGGAAACAATGACATATCTCGAGCTGAAGCAGATGCCAGAATGGGAACAGGTCCTGCAAGGGAGACGGGGCGTCGACAGCACCGGTCACACGAGCCCGTCGTTCTCGCAGCGCGGAGGTGATCTCCTGGACGCGCTGTATCTGTCTTCTCTCATGGATGGGCATATCTCGCCTATGGCTATTCTAGAGGGGTCTAGGGGTGAAGAGGTCCAGGCCGGGAAGCCAGGTTCGGTGACTTCTTCCAAAGGCCGGGGCCGCTATGCATCGTTGGGGATGGTCTGGAGCAGGATCAGGCTGGGGTATAAGAGGGTGGTGTCTGGGTCACGGCCGAAGAGGTCGAAGGTCTCGTTGCATGCGTGATTTGTTTATTTGCATGTATAGATATAGATATAGACTTGCTTTTCTTTGAATGTTTATCGCTGAATGCACTTGATTATAGTTGAACACACTCGTTACAGCCCCTTTATGGTCATCGTAGAGAAGACAAGCTGAGCTGAAAGAACCTTCCTTGTACATCCATATGCACTTATAGACTTGAACATACTTATTACAATTCAATACGGTTTGCAGCCCATTGATCGTCGTCGAGACAAGACAAGCTGACCATCGTGCCATAGCCCAGCCCACGTCAGACAATCCTCTGAAAGACATAAAGAGCCCGCCCCCTCTCCATTCGAAATCAATCAACTTCCTCCCAGTCAAAATGGCCTCCATCTCCTACGAAGGGCTGCTGCGCGGCGCAACCAAGGACCTTCAAACTCTGACTGAAGCTGCCCTTGTCCATGGCTACTTCAACCTCGAGCTCGACTGCCCGGAGGGAAGACAGTTGCGCGAGGATGTCCTGTTCCTGGAGTCCTTCACGAAGGAGATCTTCGACACCCCGGCGCCCCAAAAGACTATCTACGACTTCAAGAAGCTGGGTCGATTCCGGACCACGGGGTACGTCTACAATGGCAGAGGGCTGACTGCTGCTGACGAGGGTATCTAGCTTCAAGCCCCTAGGCATCGAAGAAGGCGCAAAGGGCAAATCCGATGGGTTCGAGATGTTCATGCTCCCCCACAACGAACTGCTCCTGCCCTCCCACCAAGCCAGCCTCCGATCCCCCTCCGCAGTCTTCACCCACCGCGCAGCCCTCACCCGATGCATGGGAAACTACGAAGCCGCATCGCAGCTCATCCTGCGCCGGATCACCGAGTCCCTCACCCTCGACGAAGCCCTCCTAACCGCCCATAACCCGGCCGAGCCGTCCGTCACAAACCTCGGCTTCCTGCGCTACCCGCCCCAGCCCACGACATCGGAGAACTGCGGCCACATCGCGCACACGGACGTGGGCACCCTGACGATTCTCGCGGCCACCCAGCGCGGCCTCCAAGTGATCAACAGCCAGACGGAGGACTGGACGTTCGTGGACCCGCACCCGGCCAACGAGTCCCTCCTCGTGCAATTCGGCGATTGCCTGAAGTTTCTTTCTGGAGGGCGTGTCGTCCCCTCCATTCATCGGGTTATACCGAGTGATCGGCCTGAGGAGCGCGAGGGCACGAAGTACACGCTTGCGTACTTTGTGCGCCCGAATGAGGAGGCTGTGATAAGGGATGATGGAGGCCGGGAGTGGGTTTATGGCGATTATCACTGTAGGAAGTTTGGGGCGTTTGCGAGGCCGTTGGAGAGGGATGGGGAGGGGGGGAGGGATCGTATGCCGGAGAGGCCGGTCGGGGAGTATGATATGATCAATATTCGGAAGGTGAAGGGGGTCGTTGAGGGGGTTGGGGCTGCTTGAGTGTCTTCATGTTGAATCAAATTAGTATCAGTTATCGATTTCCTGTGTTCAAATATCATCATACAAGGCTCTCAAGAAGGACACTAGACCTTAATCTGACTATATCTGCCTAGATGACTCTGAGCTTACCTACATCGAGCAATATGCCTGTGAGCTGACAGGCCGGTAAATCTATGGCACCACTAGGCACCATATAAATAGCGACTTTCTGCAAATAAATAACTTCTCTCTTCCTTTCTTGTCCATACCAAGCACCTACCCAACTCTTAGCGACGGCTTCAGCAATGGAATTCGCTCTCTCCACCACGCTACTATACGGAGTCCTCTCCTCTACGCTGCTCCTCCTCCTCCTCAACCGGCTCACAACATGGGAATACATCGTCCCCTCAAAAGTCTCCTGGATCGACCGCCGCCCCGAACCATTCAGCTATCTCCGCGCAAAATGGCGCTCCTTCTTCAACATGAAAGAAAACATCACGCAGGCCTACTACGCATTCAACAAGCAAGGCCGAGCCGCGGCGCTCGCAATCGCATTCGGCCGACCCCAGATCATCCTCCCGCCCAAGTACATCCGCTGGATCATCGACCAGCCCGAGTCAATCCTTAGCATTGACCCCATCCATAATGACTTCCATGCGTTTGTGCGCGATGGCCTGGTGGGCGATCATTTGGTGCAGGAGGTGCTGAGGCGCGAGCTCGCGGGGCATTTGGGCCATCTGACGAGGGAGATGAATGAGGAGATTGCGGACTCGTTGGAGAGTGTGCTTGGGGCGTCGGGGGAGTGGAAGACCCTGCCGCTGAGGGATAGTATGAGGGTTGTTATTGCGCGGATATCGAATCGGTTGTTTGTGGGCAAGGAGCTCTGTAGGTTGATCACTGTCATACAGTTTGACCGATGAACTGACTGCCAGGTCGCAACGAGGATTACATTCGCCATGCAGTCGGGCTGGGGATGGCGGTTATGCCGCAGACGCTGGTGCAGGATCTCGTTCCCCAGCTTCTCAAGGGTCCGCTGTCCTTCGGCTCGAAATTGTTTACGAGGATCACGCTGGCCGGGTTGAGTGGGCACCTCAGCCCGGTCGTTCGACAGCGGATTCAGGACGTCAAGACCGCGGAGAAGGGTCAACTGCCCCAGGAGGTCTTGACGTGGATGGCTCAGCGAGCACTGCAGCGCGGCGAGTCTCCAGCCTCGCTGGAGCAGAAGCTCATCGCGCGGATCGCCATGGCCAACCTTGCGTCCATTGAGACCACCACGAACACGATCACCAAGTGCATGGAGGATATGACGGCCATCTCCAACGAGACGGGCGGATACCTTGAGCTGATGAGACAAGAAGCCCAGACGGTCCTCGAGGCCTGCAACTACGCCCCCACCAAGGCCGATCTAGAGAAGCTGGTGCATATTGAAAACGCACTCAAAGAGAGCCTGCGTCTGGCGGTCGTCTTCCCAGGCCTGATTCGCCAGGTCACCAGTCGCACGGGGGTCACCTTGGATGATGGCACACATCTCCCCCACGGGGCCCGGATCAGCGTGGCGGCCTATGCCATCCACCGCGACGAAGCGAACTGGCCCGATGCAGCGCGGTATGATCCCTCGCGCCACGAGAAGGCCTCGTTGCCGATGTCTCGGGGCTCGGAGCAGCTTCTCTCGTTTGGCTTGGGGAAACGCGCGTGCCCGGGCCGGTTCTTCGTCACGGATGAGCTGAAGCTGCTCTTTGCACATGTCCTGGCAAAGTACGAGTTCAAGGTGATCAAGCCGCCCGTGACAAAGGTCGGTCTGCTGAAGGAATTGACCATGCGCGGGCCTCAGGAGCAGCTTGTTATACGGCGGGTCAAGTAGACGCATGTACTGTCAAGGTTGTGATTGATGCGGTACGAAGAGCTATGGGATCTAGATAGACCACTAAATCAATTCCTTCAACTTGAACTTCAGCGCTTTCCCACTGTGACTCTTGGGGATGCCCTCGACGAACTTGATATTCTCGCGCAGCCAGAACGGCTCGCTCAGCGTCTCTTGGATGTGCCCGTGGATGCTCTGCCGCAGCGCCTTCTCATCCAAGTCGACGTTGACCGTCTTTGACCGGACGACGAACGCGAATGGGCGCTCGCCTGCCTCGTCGTCGTTGATGCCAAACACCGCAGCCTCGTCGACCGCTGGGTGGCTGAGCAGCCGCGTTTCAATCTCCGCCGGAGCAACTTGGATGCCCTACTCGGGTCAGATGTGAAGAACCTCGGGATAGAATGTAGACATACCTTGACCTTCATGATGTCCTTCTTCCGATCCACAATAAACAGATGCTCCTCGCCATCTGCGCCCTTCCGGAAACACGCAATGTCCCCGGTAACCAACCACCCGTGCGCATCAAACGCCCCTAAATCCGTCGCACCCTCAGCCAGATATCCCTTCATGATGCTGGGAGACCGCAGAAGCAACTCCCCAGCCACATCGTACTCCACGATCTCTGCGCCGTCCTCACCCACAAGTCGCGCTTCGACATGCGGTAGCAGACTCCCCACGGACCCAGGGAAAATGCTATGCTTGCTCGTCAAGGAGACAATGACCGCCGCTTCAGTGAGGCCTACAAAGCCATCAGCAAGCATATCTCGTTAAGACGATGAAGCCAAACATAACATACCATACCCCCCCATGACATCCCACTCGGGCCTGATCGCCCTCAACGCGCGCACCATCTCGCCACTCAACGGCGCCGAACCCACCACCAAGCTCCTCACAGACGAAAGATCCGCCAGCTTAAACAAGATCGGATTATTCACCAGCGCCGCCACAATCGCCGGGACCACGTACAGCCGCTGGATCCGGTACACCTGGATCGAGCGCAGGGCGGCGGGCATGTCGAAGCGCGCGTGCAGGATCACCGTGTCCCGGCGGTACAGGAGCACGCTGAGGACCGCGAGCCCGTACGCGTGGCTGAGCGGGAGGATGCCGAGCGTGACCTCGGGCGCGGTCCTCGTGGCGAACCCGTCCAGCGTCACGGCTTGGAGGATGTTGGTTGCGATGTTGCTGTGCGTGATTTGCGCGAGTTTTTGGAAGCCCGATGTTCCGCTTGTTGGGCACAGGTATGCGACGCGGTGCTTGCTTTCGCCGGCTGCTAGGGTTACCGTTTCCACGGGGGGGAGAGTCGAGCCGGCGGCGAGCAGCTGGGATACTGTGGTGCAGGCGGGCTGTGTCTGTGTTTGATCGTCTCCGGGCAGCTCGAGGAGGAAGAGATGCGAAGGGTCGAGGTGCAGGGCCTCGAGGGCTGCTTGGCATGTTGGGAGGAGGTCGTTGCAGGTGAAGAGGGCCTTGCAGTTGGCCTGGCGCATGAGGCTCTGGAGTTCTGCGACTGAGGACGTCGGGTGGAGGAGCAGGCATGTTCCGCCCATGCGATGGATGGCCCAGGATAGGGGCACGAAGTCCATCTGCGGCGGTCAGCCATGTCTGTACATTGATACAATCGATCTCTGTTCATTCCCCGTGCAGGTGTAGGGATGTACTTACCGCATTGAACGAACAGATTCCCACAACCTTCTCCTCAGGGGCCCCCTCGTTGGGAGACCATCCGAGGGCGCGTATCAAGCCCCGTGTCAGAAGATCGACTCTGTTCGCGAGATCGCTGATGGTGTATGACTTTCCAGTTGCGGCGCAGACAAGGAGGGGTTTGTCTCCGGTCTCGATGTCGGTGCCGTTGCCTTCTAGGACGAAGTCGCCGACGAGCTGTGTCTCCGGGATCGCCCTTTGCAGTTGGCTGCACCATGCTGGGGATGTGAATACCATTGTGAAGGTGACTTGGGTTGAAAATGTAGTCGAATGAAGTGTCCACGGTTTTTCTAGAACGGAGTCAACAAAGGCGGCTTTATAACGCGTTTACGGTCGGGCTTAGGCCGGTCGCTCGTGCAGTGCAGGGTACCGAGGTGGACTTACGTATCTAGAGGGATATATTCTAGATGAGATCCATGCATCAGACGCAGTGGAACATCCAATCCGTTGCTTGCGAGCTACTTTGGATCGGGATGGCAACAGGCAAGGTGAGACATATATCAGGTCCTCTTCCTGTATCCCAGTCAAAGTTCAATCATTATTCTGTTTCGCTTCTCCAACCTACGCATAGTTCTCTTACGGAACTTCTGAAGATCTCCAGTTTCTGTCGCTTTCCTGACCCGAAATCGCCCCCAAAACCGACTGCACCCCACGCCATGACATAAAATCGCGCCTGGGCGATGTAGGCTAACAAGCTGGGCTGGGGCTGAGTCATCGAGCGACCTTCACAGACTACTTGAGCAGCTAGTCGACTAGCGAGGGAGCCAGGATGAGCTAGGAGGGCGGGTGGCCCTGGAGGAAGGTCTTATAGGCCACCGCGGGAGTGTCGTCAGGGGCCAAACTAGGGCTGCATCAGCCTCACTGGAGCAACCGACATGCGGGCGCAACGCCGACGCTAAATTTTACGACGACTTCATCTCCGAGTTGGAGGCTGTTATCGGCGGATCTCCACCTTCGGGCCGTCCGCTAGTATTAGAACAGGCCATGCCCATGCTCCAGCCAACTTCGTTCATTCATGGAAGTTCGTCTGCTGCCAGCCGCGCCCCGCCCCCGCCGAGCCTGGCGCCTTCCATTTCAGGCTAGCCAGGCCTGCCTCGATGGTCTAACAAGGACCTTAGTTGTCTAGTCCACGGCCTAGCAGGGATCAGATGCGCACCACTCTCAGCCCCGAGGCCAGGCCATGCCGCCGTCCGTCACGCCATGTAACATTTGCAACCCCTGCAAAGATAGGCTGGCTGTTGGAGACATGTGGGGCGGCGAGGGACGCGCAACGTGCTATACATAAGCTATCTTCCCAGGGCTTCTATTGGTGCTGGGCGCGGGATCTGGAAAAGGGCTGAAGAACGGGATGAAGAGCTGAAGAACTGGGATGAAGAGCCGCCATAAAGGACGTTGTAGCTTCAGGCACCCCAGCTCCACGGGAACTCG